TTTATTAAATTGGTGTTTTTTTATCTTGTATATTAGTTTTTTTTACTTTAGTTCAAAATCAAATGGATCACCTGGACACAAATTTCGACTGTATCTCGCTGTATTGTCGACAATATTACATTTTCCTTGATTCTTGAATTAGACTTAATGTCCGTGATCATGTAAAACACTAATCCGATAAACATGGCAGCCAGAGACCCTAATAAATATCGTTTACTTATACAAATGCAAATGTAAAATTCGAAAATCCAAATCAGATTAATATTTGATCAGTTGAAAACAAAAACCAGAGGTGGCGCCATGATTTGCCAGACGGGGGGGGGGGGCCGATTCCCACGACGAGGGTTCAGATCTCCCCGACGAAAGCAATGTGGGCGTGTTCGAGCCTTGATTAAAAGGTTTCGAAAGTGGTCCGGGGGGGGGGATATCCCCCGAAAAATTTGACAATTTAGGTTTTTCAAAGGCTTATTTAATCGATTTTAGAGTCTACTAGGCCTAATATGTAGAAAATACACATATTTTTTTCTCTCCCCGACGATTTGTGCTTTTTCTCCCCGACCGGGGGGGGGGGTTCTCTCCGACGGGGCCCAGGTTAAATGAATCTGCTGAACCTGCGGTAGTTACACCACTGGTAGATATAGTACAACAGAGCAAAGGTATGTAATCTCAGATTATCTTGTTAGTTTAGTACAAGAGTTTATTCTGTGAACTATGTTACCATTTTAACTAGCTTGCACTGCAGGACTTGGGCTAATGCACTGCATGATGTGTGCACACAAAATGTTGGTTTATTTATAATCCTCAATCATTCATTAAAATGATCAAGTTTTATCCAATTTGTGAAAATTTCCGGTTGAAGTACAGTATACAATAATTTTATGAGTCATCATGTATATGGTTATTATTAAACATGTAAACTATTCTATGAGAAATATATAATATTAAATACTGCTGGTTTTTGGTATGATAAATTTACTGGATTTGTTGTAGAAAATAGCTATTGCTATGGTCTGCACACATCAAAAACAGAAGATGCCCTTCATTCGGCCAGGTTCAATTTTTCTCAGTATTAACTAAAGCCCGCTGAGGAACTGGTTGATGGGAGGGAACACATCGGACTTCAAGACATCGCGTAAACTGACTTTAAAGATGTATTGTCCCATGCTAAATATAAAAAAAAATCATAAAAATATTTTTGGAAATTAACTTGCCCATTTTGAAGTCACATGAAAGTTTTCAAATTGAACATAGAAATTAGTGTTTTAAAAAAATGTCTACCCATCAGTTTACAGCGAAAATTGATAGAAACTCTCGCAGTCACTGGAAGTGTTTTATTATTTTTATTATAATTTGTTGGTTCAAAAATCAGGGTACACATTTTTTTAATTCAATAATTTTAATAATGTTAATAATTTGTATGTTATTGCACAATGAGCAAGTTTATTTCAAACTTATTTTTATGATTTTTTTTACATTAGCAAGGGACAATACATCTTTAAGCACTGCAGAATGTTGGATTTGCCCATTTCAATGCAGTGGAGTGGACGAAGCAAAATCAAGTGATTTCCTTCTCACATCAGTAATAACAGTGGTGGATCCAGAAAATTTAGAGGGGTCTAGGGTGAGACTTTCACAGATGGGAGGTCTAGAGCACCTAAGCCTCATGGTTGGGGCTAAGGTAAGAAAATTTATGATTACGGAAACTCTAGATGATCAGAAATGCCACTCTCAAAACTTAAATGTAAAATGTTATGGTTTTCTCCTTTTATTTTTAATTTACAAAACTTTAAGCTGGGCTCTTCCTTTTGAAGAGACTGGTGAATATCTCCATGGATTAATAGTATTTGTTTTTTTTTGGAAAGCTGATGTCATTACTGTAGTGTACAAGATAGAGAAAATGAATGAGACTGCAACTTCAGACAATATAAATTTACCGGGTCAGTTATATTAAATATCATGGCATGAATACACAAACAGTACTATTACAAATAATAAAAGACCATATAAGAGACATTCCATCAATGTTGGTTACTGTACAGTGATTTATTTTTGTATAATAATTCAAAGTAAAAACTAAAAGATTGTAAATATTGCAGAAACCTGGTACATGACCACTGGGCTAATTAAGGCCTTCAAATACGAAATTGGGCTACGATAATGAAGAAGACAAAAAAGATATTACAATATTCATTAGAAATGATTGACAGCAAGTTTATACTCAATACCGTTATTTTCCTTTGGTCGTTATTTAAACAATAACTAACAAATATCACTAACATTGTCAACATCACATTGTTTAAAAATAAATTAATTCTTATTACAGTATTCAATTCTATTTTAATATTATCATTATGATCACTAAGATTAAGTATGATTATTATTTATTATTTCATCTGCTTTACATTGAAACAATATTTGATATTAAATTCATATTCAAATACAAATACAGTGTGTCAATAATATAGAAGACATTATAGGATATTGACACATCAAAATAAAATCAATCAATGACTATTACAACTGCTGGATATATTGTTTTAATTACTTTTTAGAAGCATGATTTTTGTACCATATATGTAATATATTTGTACCACCATATGTGAAATGCAAGAACTTAAGAGAAACTACATTGTGTCTGGTTACGCATAGAGCCTCCATAACAGCAGAAGATACAGTAGTATAGAATGCATCAATATAACATCAACCATTGACATAATGTACTGTTGGAAATAATGTGTTATTACTTTATGGAAATAATAAAACAAAATATCACTTTTGTCAGCAACAATACCATTGTCAATATCACATTATTTATATCATCATAATAATTCTAATTATTAAATTCTATTTATTTAATAATTAAGTATGATACTTACTATTTAATTATCATTATGATTATAAAAACCAATAATTATGATAATTATAATTATTTATTATTTCAATTTTTAAATTGAGATAATATTTTTGATAACATGCTCTGCATATAACAAATTTTGAATTGATTATCATTGCAGCTTGGACACATACACCATTACATTGTTGCATACATACTTCACTGCATTACGATCACAGTACAGTACTGCAATATGACTGATCACATATGGCGTGTCCACCACAATAATATTGGTAAAATGCAAGAAGAACTTAATAGAAACTGCAATGTGCCTGCTAAAAATAAAAGATTCTCATGATCACTTGTGGCGCATCGGTAAAAATAAAAGATAGTATAGAATGCAACAAAATAACATCACCCATGGACTATATTACAAACAACTGTTGGAAATAACGTTTTATTACTTTATGGAAATACTAAGAAACTATCGCTATTGTCGACATCAGTACCATTGTCAATATCAGATTATAATATCATCATAATAATTCTAATAATTCGCATGATAACCTGCGGCGCGTCAGTAAAAATAAAAGATAGTATAAAATGCATCAAAATAAAATCACCCATTGACTATATTACAAACAACTGTTGGAAATAACTTTTTATTACTTTATGGAAATACAAAGAAACTATCACTATTGTCGACATCAGTACCATTGTTAATATAATCAGATTATTATATCATCATAATAATTCTAATAATTCTCATGATCACTTGTGGTGCATCGGTAAAAATAAAAGATAGTATAGAATGCAACAAAATAACATCACCCATGGACTATATTACAAACAACTGTTGGAAATAACGTTTTATTACTTTATGGAAATACCAAGAAACTATCACTATTGTCGACATCAGTACCATTGTTAATATCAGATTATTATATCATCATAATAATTCTAATAATTCTCATGATCACTTGTGGTGCATCGGTAAAAATAAAAGATAGTATAGAATGCAACAAAATAACATCACCCATGGACTATATTACAAACAACTGTTGGAAATAACGTATTATTACTTTATGGAAATACTAAGAAACTATCACTATTGTCGACATCAGTACCATCGTCAATATCAGATTATTATATCATCATAATAATTCTCATGATCACTTGTGGCGCGTCAGTAAAAATAAAAGATAGTATAGAATGCAACAAAATAACATCACCCATTGACTATATTACAAACAACTGTTGGAAATAACGTTTTATTACTTTATGGAAATACTAAGAAATTATCACTATTGACGACATCAGTACCATTGTCAATATCAGATTATTATATCATCGTAATAATTCTCATGATCACTTGTGGCGCATCGGTAAAAATAAAAGATGGTATAGAATGCAACAAAATAACATCACCCATTGACTATATTACAAACAACTGTTGGAAATAACGTTTTATTACTTTATGGAAATACTAAAGAAACTATCACTATTGTCGACATCAGTACCATTGTCAATATCAGATTATTATATCATCATAATAATTCTAATAATTCTCATGATCACTTGTGGCGCATCGGTAAAAATAAAAGATAGTATAGAATTCAACAAAATAACATCACCCATGGACTATATTACAAACAACTGTTGGAAATAACGTTTTATTACTTTATGGAAATACAAAGAAACTATCACTATTGTCGACATCAGTACCATTGTCAATATCAGATTATTATATCATCATAATAATTCTAATAATTCTCATGATCACTTGTGGCGCATCGGTAAATATAAAAGATAGTATAGAATGCAACAAAATAACATCACCCATGGACTATATTACAAACAACTGTTGGAAATAACGTTTTATTACTTTATGGAAATACTAAGAAACTATCGCTATTGTCGACATCAGTACCATTGTCAATATCAGATTATTATATCATCATAATAATTCTCACGATCACTTGTGGCGCGTCAGTAAAAATAAAAGATAGTATAGAATGCATCAAAATAACATCACCCATTGACTATATTACAAACAACTGTTGGAAATAACGTTTTATTACTTTATGGAAATACTAAGAAACTATCGCTATTGTCGACATCAGTACCATTGTCAATATCAGATTATTATATCATCATAATAATTCTCATGATCACCTGCGGCGCGTCAGTAAAAATAACAGATAGTATAGAATGCATCAAAATAACATCACCCATTGACTATTACAACTGTTGGAAATAGTGTTTTATTACTTTATGGAAATGCTAAGAAACTATCACTATTGTCAACTGCAGCTTGGACACATACTGTACCACTGCATTGTTGCATACATGCATTATGATCACCTATGGCGTGTCCACCACAATAAAAGATAGAGAGGAAATTTTTACCAGTAAAATTGGTAAAATGCAAGAACTAAGAAAAACTGCAATGTGCCTGATCACATATGGTGCCTCAGTAACGATAAAAGATAGTATAGAATGCATCAAAATAATATCACCCATTGACTATATTACAACTGTTGGAAATCTTTTATTATTTTATGGAAATACTGAAAAAATATCACTATTCTCAACATCAGTACCATTGTTAATACAGTATCATATTAAATCATCACAATAATATTTAATTCTATTTAATTACCATTATGATTATAAAAAACAATAATTAAGTACGATAATTTTAATTATTTATTATTTCATCTGTTTTACATTGACATAATATTTGATATTCATGTACTGCATATAACAAATTTCAATTGATTATCATTGCAGCTTGGACATATACCACTGCATTGTTGCACACATACTTTGCAACATTACGATATACAGTACTGCAATATGACTGATTAAAATAATATTAGTCAATTACTATATTACGTTGAAGAAATTAATGTTTTAATTAATTTGTGGAAGTATGATTTCCATTAATATATTTGTACAAAAAGTTGGGAAGTAGAAGAAAAACTTAAAAAAATTACAATATGTTTTATCACATACAGTGCGTCAATAACAATTGCAGTTTGTCTGATCACATACAATACGTTAATCGTAATAATGACAGTATAGGAAATTGAATGCATCAAAATAATATAATAAATTTTTTAGCTGACTTTTCTCAATACCATTCTATATTATTGGGCAAAGAAGCATTGTCCATTCTAGATGAAATATTAGCTAGGAATGAAATACAGTTACAGCCTTTACAAATAAACTTTGAAATGGTGAAATCACAATGGTAAAAAGTAAAGGTACTTGGTAATGAATATGTTGGCAAAACAAGTTCTATCCTTGTAATCCATGGGAAGGCAAGCATCGACAAGAAGTCATAAATTTTAAGAATATTATTATATCGTAATACTATACTAGTTGCCTTTTCTAAATACCATTTTATATTGTGCCAAGAAGCATTGTCCATTCCCGCACAAATATTGGCAAGGGGAAAGAATGCAATTGCAGCAAACAATGACGCTTTATTACTTTATAGAAATACTAAGAAATTATCACTATTGTCAACATCAGTGCCATTGTCAATATCAGATTATTATATCATCATAATAATTCTCATTATCACTTGTGGCGCATCGGTAAAAATAAAAGATAGTATAGAATGCAACAAAATAACATCACCCATTGACTACAGTATATAAAACTGTTGGAAATACTGTTTTATTACTTCATGGACATACGAAAAAACTATCACTATTGTCGACATCAGTACCATTGTCAATATCAGATTATTATATCATCATAATAATTCTCATGATCACTTCCATAGGTAAAAATCGGTAAAAATAAAAGATAGTATAGAATGCATCAAAATAACATCACCCATTGACTATTACAACTGTTGGAAATAGTGTTTTATTACTTTATGGAAATACTAAGAAACTATCGCTATTGTCAACTGCAGCTTGGACACATACTGTACCACTTCATTGTTGCATACTGTACATGCATTATGATCACAGTACTGCAACATGACTGATCACCTATGGCGTGTCCACCACAATAAAAGATATAAAGGAAATTTTTACCAGTAAAATTGGTAAAATGCAAGAACTAAGAAAAACTGCAATGTGCCTGATCACATATGGTGCCTCAGTAACGATAAAAGATAGTATAGAATGCATCAAAATAATATCATCCATTGACTATATTACAACTGTTGGAAATCTTTTATTATTTTATGGAAATACTGAAAAAATATCACTATTCTCAACATCAGTACCATTGTTAATACAGTATCATATTATATCATCACAATAATATTTAATTCTATTTAATTACCATTATGATTATAAAAAACAATAATTAAGTATGATAATTATAATTATTTATTATTTCATCTGTTTTACATTGACATAATATTTGATATTCATGTACTGCATATAACAAATTTCAATTGATTATCATTGCAGCTTGGCATATACCACTGCATTGTTGCACACATACTTTGCAGCATTATGATATACAGTACTGCAATATGACTGATTAAAATAATATCAGTCAATTACTATATTACGTTGAAGAAATTAATGTTTTAATTAATTTTTGGAAGTATGATTTCCATTAATATATTTGTACAAAAAGCTGGGAAGTAGAAGAAAAACTTTAAAAAATTGCAATGTGTTTTATCACATACAGTGCATTAATAACAATTGCAGTATTTCTGATCACATACAATACGTTGATCGTAATATTGACAGTATAGGAAACTGAATGCATCAAAATAATATAGTAAATTTTTTAGCTGACTTTTCTCAATACCATCCTGTATTATTGGGCAAAGAAGCATTGTCCATTCTAGATGAAATATTAGCTAGGAATGAAATGCAGTTACAGCCTTTACAAATAAAGTTTGAAATGGTGAAATCACAATGGTGAAATCACAATGGTAAAAAGTAAAGGTACTTGGTAATGAATATGTTGGCAAAACAAGTTCTATCCTTGTAATCCATGGGAAGGCAAGCATCGACAAGAAGTCATAAATTTTAAGAATATTATTATATCGTAATATTATACTAGCTGCCTTTTCTAAATACCATTTTATATTGTGCCAAGAAGCATTGTCCATTCCCGCACAAATATTGGCAAGGGGAAAGAATGCAATTGCAGCAAACAATGACGCTTTATTACTTTATAGAAATACTAAGAAATTATCACTATTGTCAACATCAGTACCATTGTCGATATCAGATTATTATATCATCATAATAATTCTAATAATTCGCATGATAACCTGCGGCGCGTCAGTAAAAATAACAGATAGTATAGAATGCATCAAAATAAAATCACCCATGGACTATATTACAAACAACTGTTGGAAATAACATTTTATTACTTTATGGAAATGCTAAGAAACTATCACTATTGTCGACATCAGTACCATTGTCAATATCAGATTATTATATCATCATAATAATTCTCAAGATCACTTGTGGCGCGTCAGTAAAAATAAAAGATAGTATAGAATGCATCAAAATAACATCATCCATTGACTATATTACAAACAACTGTTGGAAATAACGTTTTATTTCTTTGTGGAAATACTAAGAAACTATCACTATTGTCGACATCAGTACCATTGTCAATATCAGATTATTATATCATCATAATAATTCTTCTTCATAATAATTCATCAAAATAACATCACCCATTGACTATATTACAAACAACTGTTGGAAATAACGTTTTATTACTTTATGGAAATACTAAGAAACTATCACTATTGTCGACATCAGTACCATTGTCAATATCAGATTATTATGTCATCATAATAATTCTCATGATCACTTGTGGCGCATCGGTAAAAATAAAAGATAGTATAGAATGCATCAAAATAACATCACCCATTGACTATTACAACTGTTGGAAATAGTGTTTTATTACTTTATGGAAATACTAAGAAACTATCACTATTGTCGACATCAGTACCATTGTCAATATCAGATTATTATATCATCATCATAATTCTTCTTCATAATAATTCATCAAAATAACATCACCCATTGACTATATTACAAACAACTGTTGGAAATAACGTTTTATTAATTTATGGAAATACGAAGAAACTATCACTATTGTCGCCATCAGTACCATTGTCAATATCAGATTATTATATCATCATAATAATTCTCATGATCACTTGTGGTGCATCGGTAAAAATAAAAGATAGTATAGAATGCAACAAAATAACATCACCCATTGACTATATTACAAACAACTGTTGGAAATAACGTTTTATTAATTTATGGAAATACTAAGAAACTATCACTATTGTCGACATCAGTACCATTGTCAATATCAGATTATTATATCATCATAATAATTCTCATGATCACTTGTGGCGCATCGGTAAAAATAAAAGATAGTATAGAATGCATCAAAATAACATCACCCATTGACTATATTACAAACAACTGTTGGAAATAACGTTTTATTACTTTGTGGAAATACTAAGAAACTATCAGTATTGTCGACATCAGTACCATTGTCAATATCAGATTATTATATCATCATAATAATTCTTCTTCATAATAATTCATCAAAATAACATCACCCATTGACTATATTACAAACAACTGTTGGAAATAACATTTTATTACTTTATGGAAATACTAAGAAACTATCACTATTGTCAACTGCAGCTTGGACACATACTGTACCACTGCATTGTTGCATACATGCATTATGATCACCTATGGTGTGTCCACCACAATAAAAGATAGAAAGGAAATTTTTACCAGTAAAATTGGTAAAATGCAGGAACTAAGAAAAACTGCAATGTGCCTGATCACATATGGTGCATCAGTAACGATAAAAGATAGTATAGAATGCATCAAAATAATATCACCCATTGACAATATTACAACTGTTGAAAATCCTTTACAAATAAACTTTGAAATCACAATGGTAAAAAGTAAAGTTACTTGGTAATGAATATGTTGGCAAAACAAGTTCTATTCTTGTAATCCATGGGAAGGCAAGAAGTCATAAATTTTAAGAATATTATTATATCACAATGGTAAAAAGTAAAGTTACTGTACTTGGTAATGAATATGTTGGCAAAACAAGTTCTATCCTTGTAATCCATGGGAAGGCAAGAAGTCATGAATTTTAAGAATATTATTATATCACAATGGTAAAAAGTAAAGTTACTGTACTTGGTAATGAATATGTTGGCAAAACAAGTTCTATCCTTGTAATCCATGGGAAGGCAAGTAGTCATAAATTTTAAGATTATTATTATATCGTAATACTATACTAGTTGCCTTTTCTAAATACCATTTTATATTGTGCCAAGAAGCATTGTCCATTCCCGCACAAATATTGGCAAAAGGGGAAAGAATGCAATTGCAGCAAACAATGACGCTGCAGAAGTTAGATGGAAGAAGTTTGAAAGTTACAAAGAATCACAAAGATGGACAAGAGAGAAGGAAGAAATTTGAAAGTTATTGTATATTTTGTAAAGGAACATAATTATTAATTATGCTCTTAACTGTACTTACTAAGAACACCGTACAGTATCAACATACAGTACTAAAACTTTCAGAAGCATTGACAAATCCAGAACAATTTTAGAGAAGAAAATGCATTTACAACCTTTATAATTATGAACTTTTAAATGATAAAATCACAATGGAACAACTGTGTCATTGATAATTTCTTGGAAAGGCTAAGCATACGTCAATAAGAAGCCTTGTTATATATATATATATTCCTAAGAATAGTTTTTCCATTACCATTTTGTATTGTGCAAAGAAGCATTGTTTATTCACTGCAAAATTGTTGCAAGGAGTGAGAATGCAATTACAATATGAACTTCAAAATGGCAAAATAACAAAGGTAAATAGTATGAAGGTTCTTGGACAAGAAGAAATAGGCAAAACATGTTTTATCAATTCCTTATCAGTTACTTGGTAGAGAAGGTGTCAGTAACCTGTAGTAAAACAAGCTTTCTCAATCCATGGGGAAGTGTACGTCAACAAGTAATCTTATTTAAGGCGAGACATTTTTATTCCTTGATTCGCGTACTTCTTTTTTTAAAGATTATCGGAGGAGGGCGGAATAAAAATAAAAATACAATTTTGTTTTCTTTATTTAGCAAAGTTTTGCCAAAATGATCCAGAGAGAGGAGAAAATAAAAATAAAATTTTATTGGTACAGTAAATGTAAAATAGGATGCTTAAATTTATATAATTAGGAAGAAATATACATGTCTTTGGCAGGCAGCAGAAGGCATAATAAAAATAAAGAAAAACTTTTAATTTTTTTCTGAAATTTCCACTTTTTCATGGTGGCGCAGGTCCACTAATTGGCCAAAAATAAAATTTTATTTTTATTTGAAATCACCAACACTTACAGTCGGCGGGTTCGCTAAATACGGATAAAAAAAAGTCTCGCCTAAAGAATTGTTTTACGTCTTAGCCTGGTAGTGAAGGTGTTAATAGTCCCTGGTAAAAGAAGCTCTGTCAATCAAAGAGTACATCAACAAGAATCCTTGTTATATATTTAAAGAATAGTTTTACATTTTAGCTGACTTTTCTCATACCATTTTGCATTACTGTGCAAATTCCCCATTCCCGGAGAAATTTTAGCTAGGGGAGAAAATGCAGCTGCAGCCTTAACTGTAAACTTTCAAATGGTGAAATCACAACAGTAAAAAGTGAAATCACCTGGTAGAGAAGGTGTTAGTAGTTCCTGGCAAAAGAAGCTCTGTCAATCCATTGCAAAGTGTACATCAACAAGAAGCATTGATATATATTTAAAGAATTTTTACATTTTAGCTGACTTTTCTAAAACCATTTTGCATTGCTGTGCAAAGAAAAATTGTCCACTCCTGGAGAAATTCTAGCTAGGGGAGGAAAATGCAGTTGCAAGCTTAACTGTAAACTTTCAAATGATGAAATCACAATGGTACGGAAGCTTATAGTAACCTTCCAGATGTTCAGATGACGAGATCCAGGATCTTGTCAACTGATCATTTTTTCTAAATGATGTACACATGACGAGATCCAAGATCTCATCATCTAATCATCTTTTCTAAAGGATGTACATATTATTTTTCAGCTTAACGGTGAGCAACATGTTGGACAGTAGCGCGTCGGATCATGAGGAGTTGAATGACGTACAGATACTTTTTTCTTTCAGAGATCATGACAGAGAAAACAAAGGAAAAAGACCCATTGGTCAGGTTGAGCTTATGGAATTGGTAGAAAAGGTAATAAATAAAAATACTACTCTGTATGCATATACAATAATAATAATGTAACAGGTCCTGTCTCTCAGTCTCAGTCTTCGGCTTTAGAAGTAGTATCACAAGTGCAACCAGGCACATGGGTTAATTAATTGCATAACCCAGTGGGACATTCGTTGTTTTATTGTGACTACTGCTACAGTTGGAATTATCGCCTTAAGTCCCAATGTTTTCTTGAATGTATAGGAATTGTTCTGAAAGCTGCTTTGGAAATGAAACCTGAATTCACATCTAGGCCTGCTTCAGAACATTGTTAACACTACAATACAAGTCCTGGACCCAGGATCACAAACATTTTTACAGCCCAGTGTTCTCCCGAAGCCGTCTTAGCCGTCAATTTTACCGGTAAAATTAACCAATCAACCAGTAAAAATTTTGAGTTTGTAAAATAAAAAAAACTATTGATTAGGCTTTAGTAGTCCAGACTGGCCCTCTTAATAAATTAACATCATTCCAGTCTATATCTACACTTTGAATATGTGTTGTTGTGTCTTCAAGTCATTTAACCCAACTAAAAAGGGGTAACGTACCTCACATTGTGCGCATTGCAATTTTTTATGGACAAATTTACCAGTAAAAATTTTTCAGTTGGGAGAACACTGGCTCAGCCCCTATACAAATACTGTATTTTTGACGTGATTACATAACATTTATTATGGTGGATGCTTTGACGTCATATTACTTAGAATTTCAAAACTTCTAAAGGGTGTACACATTACGAGATCCATGATCTCGTAATCTAATCATCTCATCTAAAGGATGTAGACATGACGAAATGAAGGATCTCGTAATCTAATCATCTCTTCTAAAGGATGTAGACATGGCGATATCAGGATATCCTCATGTGATCAAAACAGAAAAATAGTATCATTTTAGTGTTCATCATGGTTTAGATATTTACCAGTGGCAAGGGTTCGAGAGGATTTTCTTTGCGGGTAATCTTCAGTTTAAGGGATAATCTGCTCACAGGTGTCTACTTGTAGGTACACTAGACCCAGAGAGCCTATATAAATGAAGCACAGTAGTAGTACCTGGCCTTAAAACTAGTTGTTACTCTTTGGGTGGAAATGGCCCCTCGCTAATCAAGTGCTCCATTAAATAACTATGTATAAAGTAGATAATCAATGGAAACCAATAGCCTCGTTCACATCGAACTATGTCGACTAGATTATCTACTTGATGTCGACAATAGTTTCGACGTGAACGGTCAATTACGGCGAGATAAAGTTCATAACTTGACGATGGCTGTTAGCTCGACTAACTTGTAAATCCAGTCATCGTCGAGTTGATAACGCACCTCGGGTGGCCTCAGGTCACAAATACACCAATCAGAACAAAGTCGGTTGACCCTTAGCAAGCTTGCTTGTTTGTTAGTTTATTTTGATCGTTCGAGAGAGAAGGTTTTTCAGTGTAGGCCTAGCTTAGATCTTTATATCAATTATGACCGAGAAAGTACGCCAAAAGCGACATTGTTGGACTTATGAAGAAGAATTCGATCTTTTTGACATTTGGAAGGAACCAGAGGTATGTGAAAAGGTGGAAGATAAAATGTACAGACAAAAAGCTACCATTCATGAGCAAATGGCTGTACGAATGCGTGATCTTGGTCACACCGGGATCACAGCCGCCGCTCTCGTGAGCGTAGTTGGTCCAGCAAGGTATCTCGACATAATCGGACCATCGAACGCAATTAGGAGTGTAGCGCTGTTCAATAGTTTATCTACTTATGTCGACAATAACCGATGTGAACCAATCTAATGCGTCTAATGACGGCTCTATTGAAATACATTTAAAAACTGTTCGGCCATTTCTTTATCGAGGCATTTAAGAATGTAAATAGGAAGAACATGACTATTGTGCACTGGTGTTGGTAATGTTTTGCATAGTGCTTTTTGTCATTACTAAATAAGTTTGAAATATAAATGAAATAATTAACATATTAACAAAAATAATATTAATAGAAAATAATAATAAAAATGATATTTATTTTTAAAAATCTAAATTTTTCATCCTGGTCAGGACATCTTGATGAATCTTAATGTTTTTTAGAGTTTTTGTGTTGTTTATTCTAAATTGTTAAATTTTTCATTTTAAAACAAATGTTTATTCATCTTTTTACAACTTTTTATGTTTATTAATGTCCTAACTATATAACTATATACTGTATATATTATATTCATTGTACTTTTTTTTACGTTTAATTAATACCATGGTCAAATGAATTTCCTTTTGGATAATAAATTATTTTTGAATAGAATTGAACAGTTTTTGTATATATTATGATTATGGTAAATAAATTACAGTTATTATCGGTTTGTCCATTTACACTTTCGGTATTTTGATCGCTTGCTTCTAAAATCGCTCAATGTTGTGTGAACGTTATTTTATGACATACCTAACTAAAATATTCACGAACGTTATAAGAATGTTTCCTATTTTCTGGGATACTTTAAACATTACATACACACTGTGCATTTATATAGTGCCGCTATATTATGAGCGTAGCATTACTGGCAGCTAATACAACATACACTACCTTATAATATGGAAGACTGCTCTTCGCTCCCATATTTAACTTTGGATACCTTTTTCTTCCAAAGGTTTACAATTAGTGTAGATACAGATAATACACTTCATCTGGTTCATACTTGTAGCTGTCTTTGGTATCGATAAGTGTTCTTTCTGGCCAAAACATTGCCCGGAACAAATTAAGAAAAAGTTTGGTACAGGAAGGTTGACTAGGAATGAATATCCTCAATTTGTCTGTACTCTTCAACGAGCTTGCATTTTTTTTATGTTTGCCTTCAGGCCATCACGAAGCCTCTTGCTTTACCTAACATCAGCCAACTCTGCAATTGAATAATGAAGATTATCGGTACTTAAATTTGTACTGTGATACAGTAACAATCCCTCATGTCAATTCCAGATATATTAATTCTAAATGTCCCATACCTGTTTCAGTCTGTTGTAATCTACTGTACTTCCGATTTCATCCAATCAAGATTTAAATCAGTTCTTATCCATTACTCGCAAAATTACTTTTCGCACAGCAAAACATGCTGGTTTTTCAAGTCCTTCCAATATAATCACTGGGCACATCATGCGATTTTTCTACGCCCTTCATAAATGCATGTTGACGTACAGTACAGCATTGAATTGAAATCATGAATAAAATAGACATCATGTGTTCCTAATCCGTATTGTGATCTGCTAGCTTGCTTCACAAACGTTCTCTACAACTTCTTTCTCATTATTTTTTTCCAGTCGTTGTTTCGGTCTTCTTCTTTGTCCTCTATACATCATTTTAACATCATGCATCCATTTTGTGTTGCTAAAAAATAAATTAATTTGAATATTATTTCAACATCTCTATTTCGCTTTCTTGTTTTCATTCATCCCATAACCGTCAGTATGGATTTTTCTCCCCACACATACTGTATATTCATGTGTAGTAAGGTAAGGAACAAGGTTTGATACCATTATGATAAAAACTAAAGCCCTGCTTCTCAAACTTTTTTTTAGGTGGCAACTCACTTTCAGACTCTATTCTTGGTGACCCAAGGCATAAATTGTCATACTACAACGATACACTGTAAACAAATAGAATGCTCTTCCTGCCCACATTGTGGAAGCTGAATGTAGGCCTATCACCACACAGTTTAGGGCACATAGAAAAAATTATTAGATTATCAGTCTTTCTTTTTTTTTTAAATAGATGAGGGCGAGAGTTTTTTTTGTTTTTTTGAGGGAACATACCCCTTCGCACCCCACCCCCTGTGTGCATGAACAGAACGAACATGTATCATTTTTCGAAGTGGCAGATACATTTAAACAACTCCCTGTGATTCACACACCCATCACATCAAGGAAGATCGCCACTAATGCAACAAGATATGTTTAGCAGCGAGAGTTTGTGAAACATGCCAGTTTTCATGCTGTGAATCAATGATCCGATCAGTCCATGGGCGGGTCTCTTTAGGGACGGACTGCGGTGTTGCCTATTTTGTGAGCATTTGTTTTTTGCAAAGTTGTTTTTATGCAGTTCAAGGATGCGACAAAAATACATTTTTTTTTAAATAATAAAATTATTCCCGCATCAATATTTCCAAAATTTTTTATGTGGGCGGGATTGATAACCTAATAATTTTTTCTATTTGCCCTTAAAGAAAGATATCAGAAGACAAGGGGGCTTTTAAAAGGTTGGAAATGACCTACCAGCCTTTGATGCATGTTTATGTTTATGTTTAGTTGCGGTGAGTTATTGATATAATTTTGTGTTGATCAGGCCTATTTTACTTGCCAAAAGGCCAATAAAATCATGTTTTCTGATGAATTAACAGTATTACATTGTTGTTTTAGAAATCTATACTAGTATAATTTGATAGCCATAGTTGCCTCCTAATCTAACAAGTAAAGATATGCTGGCTGTTGTACTTCTACAATCAACCTCGGCTTAATTCAAATACACAGTAGCTGTGATTTTTATTTACTCTGCAAATTACTGTACACAAGGCATTTGTTATCACGTGCTAGAATGTTCCATTTTGTAGCTCAACTACAGTATATTTAATAAAATCATAATTTTGAAATGCTTAATGTAAACCAATAAAACATTGAAAACAATGACAAATTTTTGACTTATGCACAGTTGACTACTAAAGGCAAGGTTAACTAGGTAAATTATTAGTGAAAAATGAAGCTTGTATTATACTGTACATCTCCATTCCTTCACAAAAAAAAACTCAAAAAGAAAAGGAACATCACATCATTTTAAACATTTTGTTTATTAACATGTTCGTGCCTAATCAATGGTCTTATCAATCCTTGGAGAGATTGGCGACCAGGCGACTTTGAGAGTAGCCCACAAAAATTTCAAGTTAAAACCGGCTAAAAATTTCCAACTGGTTTTAACTGGAATTTTCTCCTTTTTTGAGATTCTAGAATTTTCTAGCTTTCATTTTCGCAGCTACGTCTGAGAGTATCTCTTGAGTTGAGTCCTTTGTTTTTAATAGCAAAGTCTGCTTTTTTTTTCTTCTGGAGTCAGAAGCAGTCTCACAACCCCCAAAAGTGTTTTTGCGACCAAAATTTGGGTCGCAAACCATAGTTTGGAGAAGCAGGGGACTATATGTACTGTACAGCCCTCTCAACCTCCACAAATAAAACATGTCACTATGTTTACTAAAAATTTTCAAATAAATTTGTTAATTTATATGCAGCAATTAAATAATTTATCACTTAATTTTAAAATTTTCATTTTGCAAGTTAAAATATATAAAATTAAATTTCATATTTTATCAAGTTAAAATTTAATATAAGAAATATAATTACGACAATTGAAATTCCATAATATAATAATGGAATACCAGCAGATCACTAGAAATAGATATTCTTCTGAAATGCAGTAGCACATAATATGATGATAGCCATTAGACTTAAATTTTAGGTCAAGCAAGCTCCACTTATTGACACCTTTGTCGGATCAATATCCACGGCCATTGGCCTATTAAAATTTCCATGGAAATGTATCATTACATCTTGGTATTCTCGCATTCTAAGCATTTGACTATACTACTAAATTTGAGCCAACATTTTAAACAATACATAAAAACCCTCCCCCAAATGAACACTACCACTAGGGATATTCTATTCCAGGACTGCACCGAGGCTCTCGGCTGGACAGGCCCCGCCCTGGTAGCTGAGCACTACGTAAATTCTTAAGTAAGCAAGAAGTGTACTAGGCTAGGGCCCGCCCTGGTAGTAGCACTACGTAATTACTTAAGTAAGCAAGAAGTGTACTACTAGGAGGCCTAGTTTTTAGGCTAGGCCTAGCCTAGATAGACATCCCATACGGTAAATGTTTCAAAATGAGCAAAAACTATGGCATTACAGTACTTACTGAGTCAATAAATTATTAACAACACCACGAATTTAGGCAACTGATCTCTCTTTACCAGGAACTTGTTACACTGACCAGGGAGTTGTTATTTAGAAATAATAACTCCCTGCACTGATTAGAACTACTGGGCCTAAAGCTCTGATTGGTTGGATTGGAACCAACGCTTTCGATTCGCGCGTTGAGAGGCCGGCTTTCATGTAGTATCAATTGGTATCAATCAGCAAGCGGCCACGTAGTACGATGATTAGCATTTCTTCCTTGCCATTTTAAGTAGGGCGCCGCCTATAATTTCGTTATGATATATTTTCGGAAGGATCATGTTTCTATTAATTTTGCTGTAAACATTTCCTGGAAAGTAGTACCAGGAAAAAAAATTATTACCAAAAATTTCGTTTTTTGCTCCAAAAACATGTTTTTATAATTTCCTATTTTCCAAGCCATCAATTGTTACCACTTATTGGTGGCAGAAGATAGCTAAAGTGACAATAGTAAATCACAAAAAAAAAAAAATATTTTTAAAAGTTCTAATAGTTAGTGCATGAAAAAATAATTGATTTAACTTCAAAAAAGGTGGTTTTAGTAACATTTTCACAAGATCATGCAATATCCGTAAGCCTTAGTTAGTATTTATCAGATTGTGTTGAATTTGGACTTAAATTACTGTACTCGGAATTACATGGATATATATCTGTCTCTTATACACATCTAGATGTGTATAAGAGACAGAATCTATACTAGTATAATTTGATAGCCATAGTTGCCTCCTAATCTAACAAGTAAAGATATGCTGGCTGTTGTACTTCTACAATCAACCTCGGCTTAATTCAAATACACAGTAGTGAGTAACCCAAAATTAGGGCCTGGTACCCAGGCTATAATGCATGTAATAAAGTATACGAAACTCATGGACGACATGTTTCAACATGTCCCATGTTATCATCAGGTAATAACACTTATGCTATTAATGGTACAACCGGTCAGACAGCTAATATTAAGGTAAGTCATGTAGGTTAGGAATACTATGGTAAGTCATGTATATAGGAATTAGAATAAATTTGAATGAGAGAGTGATATTGTAATGAGTTGTTTGTTACACAGAGTTACACCCTGCGCAAGTAAATTTGTAGACAACACGGGCTCGGAGATTAGTTGGGACATAGTCTTTTACATAAAAAAAAATTTGATAACTTATGATTTGAAAGCAAGTTTGACATTAATGTTAGAGCAATAATTTTTTATCATAACATTGATTTTTCATTGACAATAGTTTAAAAATGGTGTATAGGGTATAAATGGAAATAAGAAGGTTGTGTTTGTGTTTTAGGATCCAAAATGGTTGGTGATAGTTTTCTGTTCAGATAGTTATGTATTATTTTATTAATCAATTAATAAAATAATACATAACTAATTAATAAAATAATACATAACTATCTGTTCAGATAGTTATGTATTATTTTATTAATTAATTATTTTTTGAAAATTAAGTACAAGTTTTCTTAAATCTTTATAACAACCGGGATAACAACACATCGTTGTGGTGCAAAACGACCACTAGTCATTGCATGACAGTCATGTGTCGTGGTATGATATCCAGGTGTCTCTGCAAGATATCCAGGTGTCGCTGCAATATAGCCAGCTGTCGCTGCAAGATAGCCAGATGTCAGTGCAACACGGCCAGTGCAAAACTGGCAGGTGTAGCACTGACATCAAAGTACAATTCTAAAAAACCAGATCATACAAAACAGTAAGTGTCATTTCAGATAGCCAGATTGATTTTCAAGGCATCCAATGTGTTGAATGCATTTCACTTGCCTTTTATTCATTTATTATCTATTTATACAATTCACATCGTTTTCAACAACTTTACCCCAAGTTATTGATTATAAATGTTTTCATTATGCTTCAACTCACCAATAAACTTAAAAAAACAAAAAGAACACATTCTACAAAGATCAGAATAAGATCATTGAGATTATTGTTTAGCTTGTTATGTATTTTTTTTTAGAATATACAAACAACAATCTTTGAAATTTTATAAACAATTCTGGTAAAATGTTGTTGGTGCGATCACTTTTTTGAAAAGATAACCTATTAACTCCAACAGATGAATATAAAAAGAAGAATCAACAGACCAATAGGTCCATAAACAGGCTAAGCATTGAAATAGAGGGAGGAATATGACTGGTGCTGTCTATGTTTCACAAATTCAAGGTCAAAGAGCTAACTATACACCAATAAGCATCTTACGCCCTCTAAACTCTTAGAAATCAAAACTTAATAAATATATAAAATATAATCAGTATAGTATGTAGGATGAAGGAAAAATTCATAATGAAAAAAGAAGTATTTTATATAATTACAAGAATAAGCTATATTTACTTATCTAGAATATGCTAGAAACTCAATTTTTGAAGTGTTCAATTACATTTTTTTTTTCCTCTATAGCATTTTCTTTGTAAAGAATTACCTTCAGTATCATATTATATCTTTTTTCTTAAATGAATTTACTAATGTTTTAAACACTCACTTTCTCCAAAGATTTTGTTCCTATGAATTCTTAAGGTTGAAATTTCTAAGTAGCTGGAGAAATACTGATTAATTCAGTTGTAATTTTAACAATTATACATGTATATTACATAACAACATATAAAATGACTACACCTTATGGAGAACCCTTAAGCACAAGAAGATTCTGCATTTAATATACATTGAAGCCAGGCAATCAATGCGCCGTAAGACGGTCGTAATACCATCGCACAACAATCCAACTCTGCTCCGTGTTCGCTAGACGTGATGCCGTCTGCTGATTGGCCTGGGCAGTCTGAACAGATCGTCATTAAAAACGATGTGTTGGATGCGCGTTGTCACGCTGAGTACTTCATAGAATTTTGTCGGCCGACGATCGTCGGGCGCAGTGAGTACCCAGATTAAAAGATAATCTTGAACAGATTAAAAGATAATCTTGAACAGATTAAAAGATAATCTTGAACAGATTAAAAGATAATCTTGAACAGATTAAAAGATAATCTTGAAATCTGCTAAGATTCCAAAGTACAACAAAGTTTCCCTTTTTTTCTTGTATGAGCCAATACCCAGTACCAGCCAAGCTATCAAAACCCTATGCTTTCTACAAGGATTAAAGCTTTAATTAAATCCAGGCCAACAGGTTAGATACCTTGCCTGGGAGTATTCAATAGTGGAATCAGGTCAGCAGAATATTTACCTATAAATGCCAAGAAGATATAAAGACAAAATGTCATCAATGTAAAGTCCAATTGAAACTTAATTATGCTAATTGGATTTTTTGTGTTTTTTTGGAGAAAGAACATATATCCCCATCAAGAACCCAAGACAATGGACCCTTCCGTAATGTCAATCAACTGACCAATCAGAACAGTGCCAGGAATATGTGGGACCTTTGCAACAATATCCAAGGGGCGTGGCTTAGCAGAACGGTCCATTACCATTTGCTTAACAGAGCTATGAGATTAGATATCAGTTCTTACAAAGTTACATTCCATGGGATTTATTATCAAAACACTAAGGTTCAATAAGTTGTTGTGGACAAAATGTATTACCTAAAGGAGGTTATTTCCCTACCAATACTAAACCCATATAAGTGGATATTTACACCTTCAATAAAAAACATGGAAACTAACACATTGACATATTAATTTGTATATGGATTCATTTCCTTGCATGCGGAAATTTGTAAATAAACAAATTACATAAATTTTAACACTTCACTTGATACATATTCATTATATTTAGGCCATTGTTTATCAGGTTGGCAGATCGTGGTAACCAGAGTATATTTCAGTAAGAATATAATAAAGATGGATCTTTACTATATCTATATTCAGTAAGAATATAGTAAAGATGGATCATGATGCTTGAATTATGAGGTACCTCACACACCAGTGTTCTATCAGATACCTTATGAACCCATGTATACTTTGTAAACCCATTGTTACCTCATACCTTAATGGTTCATATGATACAACAATGTTTTAGTGGGTACTTCATACAACCACAGTTCACAAGGAACCTCATAAAAACATGGTTTATCAAGCCATGGTTGTCAAGTACCATATGCAACAATGGTCAATCAGGTACCTCACCAGACTACTGATTACCAGTTACCTCACACAACCATAGTTTACCAGGTACAACAACCATGGGTTACCAGGTACCTCATACAACCAAAGGAAGTACGGTACCATATGCAACCATTAGTTAACCAGGTAATACATACAACCAAGGCTAGTAAAATACCATAAGCAAACATGGGTTACCAGGTACCTCATACAACTAAAGCAGGTATAGTACCAAATGCAACCATAGTTTACCAGGTAATATATACAACCGAGTTCAGTAAAATACCATAAGCAACCATGGTTCATCAGGTACTTCATAACACCACATCTTATTAAGCACCTCATACACCCATAGTTATAAAGTAGTTTATTGTGTTTGAGCTACCAAGCCTTGGTTTTAGCATTGCTACATGTATCTACATCTCATTGAGTTTGAATTCTTTGAATAACCAACGAGGCACTTTGTCTTGTTTCAGGCCACTGGTCTACAGGTGGCAACTCTCTCCAGATTCGGCATTCCTGGTAACATTCAAGGTGGTGAACTCTAGCTTGGGTAAAGTAAGCACATGAAATACAGCTCAACAGAGGGCGCCATCTGTCCTAATTTAGAATCTTAATTGCCTTTTCAAAGTAATTATAACGAGAGCGCTTGTTCTTGTTGACATGGTCAAGGCCAAGCCAAGGCTTCGGTTGCATAGCTCCAGCTGAGAATTGAAAAACATAGGATAACACTTTTACAAAGTTGATCTGTATTAACACACAGCATTAAAAGAAATCAGTAATGCTATCAAACCCTGTATTATTGTAAAAATAGAAAAAAAAAAACTCTTTGTTTTATAATTTGGTATAAAGTATTTAATATGCAGTATATAAATGTAAATTAATATAATTATTATGACAGCAAATTAAAGGTAGCACAAAGATGGCATTAACACAAATGGCCATTGCACAGGCCTCTACATATGGTCATCAGTTATAATTTTTCTGTTGATTTCCTGCTTCAGAAGATAATATTTTGTGGTGGATCCAACATTTCAAAGCAGAGGGGATCCAGGGAGAGACTCAGAAATGAGGGTCCAGACAACCTCAGCCCCACTATGTTTGGGCACTATGGTAAGAACAATTATGATTATGGCAAACTTGAATATAATTTCATCTTTTCCCCCCATTTTTTTTTATAATTCTGAAACATATAGGGGAAAGGCAGTCCGGATGGGTCTCCTTAAATCCTCCACCGATATTGTTATTAAATATTTACCTCCAACTGTTTGTGGCATAAAGTCCTTTATTGACACTCTGTATTCACCTGTAAGAAAAAAAAATTCATAGATTGATCTACTAGACAAGCAAAATGATTAATATCATGTAAATACTGAATTTTATGATTTATCTATTCATAAATATATTACTGTCTCATGACCTGATGTTACATCATTTTTTTTGTTGTCTCAATTTTAACAAATCAATTTGCATAAAATTTTAAAATATATTGTACACCTTCCCATCTACCAGTCTGCATTGTGACTGATTGTGATACAAAATTTGGATATTTATTTATTCTCAAGATATCTGCATAAACATAAATTTTTATGTTATACTAATTATTAGCACTCTAATCTAATTGTTTCTGCTTTTGCTATGTTCACCATGTACACCATTGTATCAAGTTAATACTTACCCTCTGTTATATAGTTTGCCCTACCCATTACAACAATAGCAAACTTGACCTAAAAATATAACGAAATCGTAATTATTGAAATATCAATCAAATTAACAAATTAAAGTAAAAAGAACAAACAACAAACAATAACAAAATTAAAGAACAAGAACAAATTTGCACACAGTAATAATTGAAAGTGATGTTTTATTTTTACCGTAAACGATAGAAATATTTGCACACGGTACCATTTAACAGAAAGAAGTTAGATTAATGTTTGCACACAGTACCACCATATTAAATATGCATGATTTACAGGGTTTGCACACGGTACCAATTTAATTAATGGTTTTACTGTAAACAAGAGAAATCTTTGCACACGGTACCAATTAACAGAAAGGGGTTAACAGTAAACAAGAGCAGTGTTTGCACACGGTACAAATTTAAGTAATGGTTTTACTGTGAACAAGATGAATCTTTGCACATGGTACGGGTTTTTACAATGAACAGAGTAATGTTTGCACACAGTACCAATGGCCTATAATCAAATGACAATCGTTACCTTTTCAAGTTCTTTTTCTGAGATATCTAATTGCTGCTTGATTCGTTCACGAACATCTGTGAAAGGTTCACCATCTTGGACCCTAATTAGAAACGGAACACCAAACATGGAGAAGACTTCTTTCTGAAAGTGTGCAACACAGAGCAGCAGCTCAGTCTCATTTAAGTCCAGCTGATCCTCAGGAATTTCCTATAAAAATAACAACAGAATTTTATAACAGAAATATATTATTTAAAAATATCTACAGAAGAAAAAAATGTTTATCAAAATCGTATTTTCCCGCATATAAAATTGCATTCATTCAAACAATACAACAGTTAGTAACTTCATTTCAGTAATAAATTTGCATGTTACAGACAATCTGCACATAAGACGTACATGATTTAAACATAAACAAATGTGTATGTGTTGGGGGTATAACACGACCCTCTGTTTTTCAATCGTAATTTGCTATTTAAAGCCTTGTACTATACGCAAAAACATACGGTATACCAAAATAAATAGATATAATTATACGCAAGCTCGGCCAGACATACCTCTATCCTGTAGGTTTTTGTGCCCGCTGGATTTAGACATTCCAGCAAGACATCTTCCTGTGGCACCTGATGAATTTTGTTACTAATAACTTCTAGAAGTCTAAAGCACAAAAATAGAAATATATTATATTAAAATATGACCATTATATATCATCAAACGTTAATTGTATATATAAAGATACATCACATTTCTTCCCTCACTTGCATTTCACTTCATTTCATTTCATTTATTTCTCTCAAAACATTGAAATGAAAGACAAGAACAAACAGACGCAATCAGAAAAAAAAAACAAGAGAGAGGAAAACCAAAAAGCGAACTTTTTCACAAGAGTGAGAATGATACAATGGTGGACATACCGAGTTGCCTACCTTGGCTAAGAACTTTATGTACACTTATCTCTCTCCAATCAGCAGTATAAATGTTTAAAAGGTAGGATGTATGGCAGTAAATGTATTTGTCTATTATATGCGGTATGTATTGTGGTACAAACTAGTAATAATCCCGAAGATTGGAGAAGTTAATGTTGAGCATCAGGAATTCAATGTATTGTAAGCGTTGTGATTCTTTATATTGTGAAAGGTACTAAATACTAAATACTATTATAATTATTATTATTATCATTACTGTTATAATAGAAAAGTATGACTATTTCTTATCGTGTCCACTCAAAAAACAAGTGACTAACCTTAATTTGCCAGAGCCATTGTGGCCTAGCGTGTGATGCTTCAGCGATTTGGCCTCCATCAGTAGACCCGCTACTGTGTCATCCTTATTAGGATAAAGGACCATCTCCTACAAAAACAGAATGATCTGGTAAATCACCATATTTGTATAAGAGTTACATGTAGCGACATTTCAATTTATTTATATGTGGAAAGTTTATTTTCCCCTTTTTTCTTACACGTATATGCGTACATAAATTTTTAAAAATGATGTTCAATAATTGAATTATATATAGCTATTAATTAACACACGCATATCACATGTGGGTAAAGTGTGGACCTGCAGTGATTTTTTGCGGCCCGCAAAAATGAATTAAAAGCCCTATGCGTGCAGCCCGCCAAAGGTCTTTGGCTAGAAAACACCTTGTTTTTTACAGCTAAACATTGATCATCTGTAAAAGGTAATATTAAAACTGAAAATAAAGCGGTATAAAAGCAGCGCATGAAAGGGTTTTAGAAACACACTGGAAACATCAGTTTGGGTGCGGCCCACCCCTGTTAAACTTTGGCCCTCCAAGCGACTTATATGCCCACCCCTGTATTACAAGCTACAATTAATATTCACTCTTAGATTCAAAAATATTAAAAGACTGATAAAGGTGGAAATTAAACAAACAAATACTAACCTCTTCTTTCAGTTTACTGCTGACCCATACACATCGAAATTGCTTTTTATTTTCAAGTTCATTGATTTTGATTGTCAACTTAAAAAAAATCAAAATAAATATTGTTAAACTGCTGGTGTCCAGAGGTATTGAACATAGAGGGGCAAAACAACGTTGCCAAGAGCCTGAGCCTAGGAAAGGGTAAATACTTCCTAGCTTCTGATTGTATGGAGACTTAAAGCCTTCACCAGACTATCACATTTTATTTGACATAAGCTTGCAACATGCCTAAATATGGTCATGATGACATCACATCATGACCATATATAGGCACATCATGACTATATATGGGCATACAACAGTTTTTTGTCAAAGAAAATTAGATAAGTGGACAGAACCTTAGATATAGGTAGTTGGGATGCTTTTCATAAAATACGTTTTGATTACAAATGTGCTGGAAACACAGTATTATTATTTTTTTTTAATTATATTGTTATTGTTAATGTTCTTTTTACATTCTAGTAATACTAAAAAAAAAACACTTCAAAACATTTGTAAGCACTCACCCTTTGATAATAGAGTTTCTTGATTCCTCTTGGCTTTAAAGGAAGTATGAGGTCACGTAGAGTACCTTCATAAGTGCAGCGAATGGGGTGTCCAGGACCATCACGATGCCTGTTAGGGGTAAATTACACAAAATATCAGCATTGATATTATTTATCTGTGAGTCAAACACTTGGATAAACACAATTGCTATTCTTCCTTAATTGAACCACCCCTCAAAAGTAATAGAACAGTCCGTAACAGTTAAGACGAACATCACTGAAATTCTAAGGATTGAAGCATATTTGAGCTGCAATAACGAGGCGATAATGAAATTGTATACTATGTAAAAATGATTTGATGTACATTGGAATGGCTTATCTCATCCAACTGCAATTGCACTGTAATTTTTATGAGATCTTTAGTTGAAAGAAACTGTGCTGGAATTGAACTAAGATCCCCAAAACCCCCATGATTCAACACAAAATACAAACCACAAGGTAGCTACACAGTACTTAGCAACAGATCTTTGATGTTTTCTGCAAGTAGGATATGCTGCTCCCTGCAGAACTGGACTATGAAGGTAGTTCTGCAACTGAAGTACAGAGGTTTCTGCAACCATTCTATGCAGCTCTATACAACTGAGCTACATAGCGCTCTGGAGTCATGAAGCTCTTTACAGCTCAGCTATGTAGCTCCCTGCAACTGAGCTACATAGCTCTCTGGAACTTTATAGCTCTTGCAACTGAACTGGGCAGCTATTCAACCGAGTTATAAAGCTGTTTACAGCTCAGCTATGCAGCTACCTGCAACTGAGATACATAGCTCTCTGCAACTGACCTGGGCAGTTACATGCAACTGAGTTATGAAGCTGTTTACAGGTAAGATATGCAGCTTCCTACAACTGAGCTACATTGCTCTCTGGAGTTCCATAGCTCCTGCAACTGAACTGGGCAGCAATTTGCAACCGAGTTATTAAGCTGTTTATGGCTGAATCCCTGCAACTGAGCTACATAGCTCTCTGAAGCTCCACTTCTGCAGCTGTGCAGCTATTTGCAACTAAGTTACAAAGCTGTTAACGGCTGAGCTATGCAGCTCCCTGCAACTGAGCTCCATAGCTCCCTGCAACTGAGATAGGCAGCTATTTGTAACTAAGATACTAAACTGTTAATGGCTGAGCTATGCAGCTCCCTGCAACTGAGCTGGGCAGCTATTTGCAACTAAGTTACTAAACTGTTAACGGCTGAGCTATGCAGCTCTCTGCAAACGAGCTTCATAGCTCCCTGCAACTGAGCTGGGCAGCTATTTACATGCGATTAAGACTTGTGAGTTCATGACTTACGTCTGTGCTTTGAAGAACTGCAGCAGCATGGGGTCTGTATCTAATTTGGCAGCAACAGCTTTGGCTATCTGTCAAATGCAAACCATAAACATCAACAATTTAGTATCAAATTAAAGAGTAGCAACTTCTATATAGATTACAATTTAAATTTTGTTTGCAGAAATCTTTAATACAAAAGAAAAACAAAATTCAAATAAATGAAGATGATGATAAAGATAATAAAGATTATGAAAATGCATTGATGATGCTGGCACTGATGATGATGATGAAGATGGGTTAATGATGGTAGAGGTGATGATGATTTACATGGTTGTTGATGAAGAATGATCATGAGGTAGATAATGATGTTGTTGATGTTAAACAATGATGAGCTTTAAAATGATGACAATGATGATGATGTGATAATTAAAGATGATGGTGTTGGTGATGGTGTTAATAATTAAGTTTGTGATGATAATGACAAACAAAGATAATGGTGGTGGTGGTGGTAATGATGCATACAGAGAAAAAGACGCAAATGTAAGCAGATGGACAACTGACTGACCTGGAAATAGTTCATCTTGACAGATAACGTTATTGTAAATCCAGGATCATTTAAGTTTGTCTTATCACAGAACACAACCTCTATTCGGTAGTAAAGGTCACGGAAATATTCCTTGGCTGTTGCCAGCTCATACTGATCATTGTCCGAGTCATCCCTATGACAACAAAAACAATAGCTTAAATAGAGGAAGATCAATTAAGTAACTAATGAAATAGAATTATAAGTTTATATATTATATAGATATTAAATAAGGGGATGCGAGCCATCTAGAATCAATATTTTTATTATTATTTATTCAGGCAAAATATGCAGTATACAAAATACATTACAATTCAATAAATCAAACAAACAACATTAATAATTACATTAAATAAACCATAGATAGTCATTAGCTGCTAGGAAAGCACAAAGCAGCCAAAATAGGCGTGTACTTCCAAATAATAACTACTATTATACAAATATAAATAACATACATAAATATGAATGACTAAAGCATTGCATTATTATATTAAGCCTATAATTTACACATGTTGATGTTAATAATAACTTAAATATTAAATTTGTTATACATAATTATATTAGCAAATATTTATAAAATAGAACAAATTATATTTTAATATTCATTCACTTTGAAAAACGTTGGTTTTTTGATGAGTATACTAGTATTAAGTAAGAACATGTATATGTAATTCTGAAGATACATTGTAGTCGTTTACCTTTGAAATACTAAGATATCTCCATCCATGAGTTCATCCAATGCTTTGTCTAACTGTAGCCTCAAATCTTGTATCTTTTCTGTTAAGTTTGGCTTCACTTCCTGAAAAATAAAAACCAAGGAAAATAGTCCACTACAATGGATACAAGTAATAATGGATGAGAAATAGAGTTAAACTATTGTTATAGAAATGCATTGCCGTTGTGACAAATTTACTGCTCTAAAATTGTTGAACCACGCTACTGTTGTGGAATAAATACATAAGGCAGGTATCCCTAATTAAAAACCCCTCCAAGACCACTTTGTCTCATATTTACAAATGTCTTAACCTTTATTATTCTAGAGACCAAAGCTGCTCAAAACCATAGAAACACCAGTCCCAATTAGCGGTATTTAATTGGAGGGAAACCTGTATTAAATTACAGCCCCAAAAAAGAAGCATAGAAGTGCTGTTCTAACATTTTTTTAATAGATCTATTGGCCTAACATTAAACACATAAATATATACATAAATTGCCTATTCCAATGTAACAATATCTAATGCTCTGGTTCACATCACCTATCTTCTATGAATACATATTGCTTACCTCGTAAATTATTAGAGAAGTTCCTTCTGGAAAACCCCCTCTTTCACACAAAGTTGGTATAAGTTCATCTGTAGATTTAAAAATCACAGGAACAAAATTAGTATGACTATCAGATTGAGAAGGTCTGTGGCTACAATAAAGACTAAATATTGGTTTACTTCCCAAAACCATTGGAGCCATGTTGTAATCATTTTAGTAATGAAATTATTGTAGTAGATATATGAGGCATGTTGTGGCAACAAAATGGTTAAGTTGTTGCACAGGCCAGTATTGAGTAAATGAGCTATAAAATATAGCAGCTGAAAAAAACTGCCATAAAAATAATTTTTTTTTCCACTATTGTTCAACAGTTTAATGTCTAATAAATCATGTCCCAAAGTCTGAGTTTTGGAAGAGGTCATCAAATTGTTTATTCAACGTTATTTTGATCGTTAATTCTATTAAACAATGTATGCACAAATAACATTGGAAGGCAATTACTCAAAATAATTTTTATCTTGATTATGAGTGCTGTACTTTTCACTTCCCAATAACTAAGACTTGAAATGTCCAATTTCAATGAATGACCCCTCATTTGAAAGATTACATACTCAAGTATCTAAAAATACCAATAACGTAAATTTCAATTTTTGATACAACATGCCTCATATTTTGTTGTGCGAAGGATATATATTGACTTACATATTTAACAATGTGGAATGCCAGCAATATCTGACAGTCGGAATATTAAGCCCTGTCAGACTATCAAATTACATTTGACCAAAACACATGTTACATGCCTAAATATGGTCATGATGACATCACATCCTGACCATATATAGGCATATGGTCATAGAACTTACATATCTTCTGTGTGATAGACACGGCAATGTGTCCGCAGTACGAGATCGTTTTAGTCTTTGGGTCGTACTTCTTGAGGAAGAGAAGGACGTCGCTATCTTTGTCAAATTGTGGTAGCGCAGCTTGCTGTTCGGGATCTGCCGTTTCTAAAAATACTAACCAATTCGGATCATTTTCGGCAATGTCATGCACCTACGGAAAACAGAATACCTCCAAAAATTACTAAAGAGTTCAGAGTAAGTCACATTCTATCAGATTTTTGGCAATAAGAATTATATAACATTACTGTCTATAGCATGTCTCATCACACTCAGTGGAGGCACCAGTAGGGCGGCTGGGGGAATTTTCCTCGTCGGACAGGCCTGGACCACCCTGTCGTCCAACGCAACGACTAGGTCTTAGAATAAAAAATGAAAATACTAATAAATTGCCTATCCAAATAACCTTATCTTGATTGCTAATCCGTAATATTGTGGTCTAAAAGCACGCTTTAGCACATAAGCCATAAAAACTCTCCCTATGAATCCTACTCGAGATTTTATATTCTGGGCCGTAGAATGAGGCTCTAGTCAGCCCCTTGGTTTGACCCCTCCTAAACATAACAGACCCCTTGCCGGTACATTTCTGGCGCCAACGTTGATTCGATTTTGATGAAGTAGAGTATAGGCAGACTGCAAATGTTTTAACGGGTGTGTTATATTCAAGCTAAAATACATTTTTACGTCTAAAATATAAAATTCTTATGCTTTCTGTCTGTTATCAATAGAAAATTCCTGGCAATAAGGTGCACAACAAAATAACTCACCGTTTTTTCTGCGTCTTCAACTTCTAACGTTGTCGGCCTGTATGTCTGATTTGTTCTGTAGCTGATTGGCCAAATCCGCATATTATCTACTGGGTAACCATAGGCGTCTGCTAGAAGCTCCATGACTCCGGCAAGATTCAAGTCTTTCCGAATACGAAAATCCCTGAAAATTGATAAAATTAATTATTTTTTATCACACTCTGAATAGGTTACATTTTCAAGTTTATACTCAATTTTTTTAAAGTTTATTTACTATTAAAAGTATCAGTGGTTTACCTAGATTTAATCTTCTCGGAGTCAAAGAGGTCGTTTCCTTGGTGACCATAGAATTGGTCCTCTGTGTAAACTCGTAGCAGCATGTATAAATGTGCTTCTGATTTGTCCTTCCTTCGTTGTATCTCTAATTTCCTTTAAAAATTACAAATACATAGTTTACATTTTACGTAATATATTTGACCATCAACAAGCGAAATTACTATAGTTTGCAAAGAGTCGGGTAAAGCCATTCTTACCACTACTGACTTCATATTTTTTATTTTATTTTTTTAAAATATCAATTTGATCTTTTATTTAAATAGCGCATTTCATTTTTAATACAACGCCCTCTATTTGCCTGGTCATAGGCCAATTCATAGTAAGTAGTGCGCATGCCCATATTAAGGTCAATTGACATAAATAAATATACACACAACATAGGTCAATTTATTTTTATTTATTTATTATGTCAACTGTGAGGTCTCACTACTAAATGAGACTCATGGTCAGAAAATTAAAAAAATTGACTTTTGTAAAAATTTGACTTGGACCTATTTTGGTGAATATTTCAATATGATTTCACCAACGATGCGTCTCATTTTGTAGAGAGACCTCACAATTGACCTTGGATATAGGCATGCGCAGTTCAAATTACAAATTGGATTATTGGAGAAAACAAAATGTGCAACCTCTTTTACTGTCTGGGGAGTACTCCTAATTATGTATATAATAATTAGCACTACTAATCCTAGTTATATATGTAATCAGCATATAACTAATTTCATTCCAAATGATTCACCTACGAACCATGACCCGGTATCCTTTTACACTCCTGATTGGAGACAGGCAAATGTAAATAAAATGTGTTACCCAAGGTCACAAACTATGTGAACAGCATTGGATTCGAGCCTACAACATTTTGATTGCAAGCACAGCGCAATACCTCTCTGCCACATACTCCCACTCTGTTTTGTCTTATATTTTATTGTTTGCTGGATTACCTTTCTTCTTGTATCCTTTTTTGTAATGTGTCTGGTATATCTTCATCTGTCACTGGTTGAAGAATGTCATCTGGAGATTCAAACATTAATCATCAATAGAAAGTCAACAACAGTTAAGTGACTTACTGTGAGCATAAAGTCAAAATGCTGGGTCCTCAAACAAGTCTAGCATACAGCATAGGTATTACAAAGTAGCCTGGCCTAGCAAGGAGAAGGTAGCAAATACAAGGTAGCCCAGGACTTGGGCTAGCCAACATTTTTATGTTGAATTTCAAAGAAAATCTATTTCATATTCGGCTTATTAACTTTCAGATTTGTTATGGGAGGCAAACATATTTCTGTTCGAAAAGAGGTGGGCTTACATCTAAGTGGTGCATTCTTTAAAAAATTTAGAAATTGGGCCCCTTTATATGGGGAGGGGGGTAAGCATATTCTTTTTTTATATTGCATCATCTTGTGTATCATTTGATATATATTGATTAGATCAGCTAGTTCCTATAGCACTTGGACATACCTAAACAACTGTCTCTTATATACACTAACATGTAAGCATTTGTACAATGTCGAACTGAAAGGTCGTCGTCATTCCCTCCAAAGTTGTTATCGATGGCTTCCTGCCTGGTACATCGGGACACCACATCATCGTCAAACTTGCACCACTGAATATGAAAAAAAGTTTGATGTAATCATACGAGAATCAATTATAAAATAGAAAAATTTTTATAATCTTTCTAGACTTTCAATCAATTAATCAATGCTCACCTTTCCATCTCCTTTGGGGTTAATGAAGACTACATAATGTCCACCGTGATTGTCGCCGCTATGAACAAGAACGGCATGCAATGTATACGTTGAAGGCGTTTCTTCTGGATCGCTCAAAAATGGCGTTAGATCTAACTTGAACGGAAATTCATACCTGGAAGGCAAAAACAAATTAATAATTTCAATAATCCTCTATCACGACCCACTATTAACTCATCAATTCTACAACACGTGTGGGCATAAAAATTGGTCGGAGGGCCAAAGTGAATTTTTTATTTAACACAGAGGGCTCACCAAAAACCAAAAACTTCAAAGCACTACTTTTACACCACTGTATTCTCAGTTTTAATGTTACTTTTTAGATATAATCAGTGTCGAGCCGTAAAAAACAAGGTGTTTTCTAGCTAATGTTGCTTAGCGGGCCGCACACATAGGGTTTTCAATTTATTTCCGCGGACCACAAAAAAATTGCTATTGGACACATGCGGCCCATCTGTGGTTTACTATATCAAATTTTAAGTGCTTTACACTATCAAATTTTATGTGCTTACCTGTCATTGATTTTAACATTGGAATCTGTATGAGGGTCGTACTGGAACCGCATGAGTTGTAAATGAAGTACTGGTGGTAATAAAGAGAACAGGACACCTTTCACAGCCTCCTGTAATTATAAACATAACCTTCAAATAATTTCATTAGGTTACCAAATTATGAAGAAAGGTTAAATTCATGAATTGAAACCAATAAATAAATAAATAAGATCGAAATGTCACAAGTATGTATTTATTTATTGGTTTCAATACATGAATTCACCTTGCTCCAGAACAATAACTGTAAATAGATGAGAAACATGAGAACAGAATACCCTACCCAGAATTAGATAGTAAAACATATTATAATGTTAACCCTTAACCTTTGATGAGTCGCATCAAGTGATAAGTATACCTTGATAAGAATTTATTTCACTTTTAGTACTTGTCCCATGGATTATACCTAGTCAATGCAACCGGAAGACACAATACACTACATGCCATAATATCCTACTAGGTACACAAGCAAAATACCCAGTGAGTGTTTTGAACCCCGAACCTCAAGGCTGGAAGTCCAACATTCAATACCCACAGCTTCCACTGATCGTGATAATGATTATGATGAATGACACATTATTACCTGAAGACCATATTCCCCCGCATCGTACTTGTTTTCTCCCTCCATATTCTCTTTGGCAATGTAATCATGAAATGATTCATATACTAGAAAAAAGTTTGAAAAGTTCAGAATAATAATCAAACAATACAAATAATAATGATGATAAAGCAATACCAATTATTAAAGTAATATCATTAATAATCATACTCATACAATATGTAAATAAATAATTTATTTTATATTTTATTTAATTCTGGTATAAGAACATAGAGCAGTAAGAGAATGGAACAACTGAATTTACAATAAGAAACAAAACACAAGACACAAAACTTCAAATATTATTTTTAAAAAAAATACAATAAAAAATTCACAATTCAATTACAATTGAATTTTAAAAGGAGAAAAAATACAATATAAAATTTATAAAAATAGAATAGATATAAAAAAAATAAACTACTAAGAATACAAAAGATCATATTTTATATTATATATGTACAAAATTGTCAATTCCATTACATTAATTACCAATAATGTTTATAAAAATTTTTACTTCCAAAATTATTAAAATTATCAAATAATTATATATTACAAGTACAAGATTTAAAAAAAAATTACATTAATGACAAAGTATAATTTGATTATTGCAGTAAAAAAAAGTTGTTACCATCTTTCATGCCTTTGATATTCATCTGGATATCATAAAAGGATTCTATCCTGGTAGACACGTAGTCAACATGTTTGCACATGATATAGGACTAAAAGAAATACAAAGAATAATACATTAATTCTATATTGATTTCTACATTTAATGACTAAATATTGTAAGTAGGTCTACCGTTAATGCTTGTATTTGTATATACTAGCTTATGCAATAAATAGCCTGTGATGGCTGATTAAGCAAATAATTAAAATCACAGTGTACAAATCAAATCAAAATCAAATCATCCTGTGTACAGTGAGTAGTGATGGTGGCATGGTCACACCAGAAGTGTTCAAAACTACATTTGTGCAAATGTTTTTGCCATTATTTTGTTTGGTCTAATATAAAGAAATTTACATATATATTACATTTCAGCTATTTAGTAATTAATCTTTCTGGTCTTTACTAAAAACTAAGATAACACAAATATGTTTTTTTACATTGAGAAGAAAGAACCAACAAAGTAAACAAATGCTTCAAGAAGTAGATTGCTGTTTAAATATTATAATTATTTATATACTACAAAAAACAAATATCAATATAATAAACTTGAGTGAACTTACAGACATTCTTCCTTCAAAGAGTTTTGGCATCACACCTTCTACACACGTTCCCTTCATCTTGGATTCCATATTATCTAACAGCTGTAAAACAATGGCAACAACACATAACTGACAAGTTCCCATGAAAACTGGACACAGTGGGAAAATCCCTTTATAAAGCCCAGTCTAGACTATCAGATAACTATAATATGGGCATACAACAGTATTTTATGGTCATGATGACATCACACCATGACCATATATAGCCACATTATGACTATATATGGGCATACAACATATATATAATAACCTTTGGAATGTTATCAAACTTATTAAGAAACGTACAAAAATAGAATAAAAATGTTCAGGAGTAGTAAACAAATGACAAAGACAAAGGGAATAGAGTACTACAGTGTTACGTCACGATACCATGTGATACTACTCTGTTGCTATCGTTGCAACAAGGATTCAACCGGATGCCAATTTCTTCACTGACAAACCATTGATCCCAATTTCTAACGTAATTATTAAGATGTTGCATCTTACTTTTTCTTTGTAAATTTTAATTGATTATTAAATGTGTGTTCGATAACTAATATAATGCAAGCTTTTGTGTTTTTAGTACATTTTGATGGTAAAATATTAGATTTTAAAATGCATATTCCAGAAAGCCTATGAAGTCAGTCGTTAATGAACAGTAAACTAACGTCAGTTGACAAGGAGTATAGGAATACTTTTGGTTTGAATCACACCAAGAATAACCCACTAAAGCTCGATAACTTGTTTCAAGTGGGGTCCTTCTGGTGGTGGATTGGACAGTACACCAACAATAGAAGTAGGGCAGCAAATGGTACTTAATAATTTGTAAATAATAACTTTCAATATTCCTATTACATATTTTTGTTTCTTCAATTGGTACTGGGGAGTCCCAGACAGATGAGCATTGTTCACTTTTTGAGCAATCCTATGAGGTACTGCTGAGGTGTGTAATTATTATTGTATATTTTGGATAAAATTGTAAACTTGAAATGGTTGAAATAAATTATATTAAACTTACCACTCTACACAGTTCCTGAACATCATGTTGCATGAAGGAATCTAATGTTTCCCAACTGAAATATAACAACAAAAAAATATCTAAAATAGCATAGCAAACCTTCATTCTTAATGTACATAAATTGGCATTTTGAGTTGATAATGAATCAAAACATGTCTTTCACAGTCGTACAGTGCCATTTCTGGCCATCCAGAAGTCCCTAAAAAAATCTCATTTGGGAGGGGGACATCCCCTCCCAAAACCTCCCCCTCCTCAGACAGACAAGCTCAAGCTCCCCTGTCGGATAGCTTAGCCCCCAGAAAATGTATCCTAGAGCGGCCACTACATGCTGCATGTACAAAATCTACTATTTCATCTACACATACAATGACCATGTCTAGAATAAAGTAATCAATCATTACTGTTACATCTGTGAATGTATGTCTAATACTTATGCTGTAAATACTAATTAATACAAATTAAACTAATATTTATTTTATTATACTAATATTTATTTAACTATTCATAATTGATTTTCATAATAGCTATTAATTATATATTATGTGTTTCTGTACTATAGATTATATATTACTAACTTTTTCAATGCCAGTGGAGAATTGACAGTAAAATTTCATTGAATCCTGAACAGCTGCTAGCTACTGATGTAAATTAAACAAGGTGAATGCCGTTTACCCTTCCTCATACTTACCCAAAAGACTTTGTAAGTTTCTTTGTGGCTACTGCCTTGTCACTGTACTGCAACTCATAAAACACTCTTTGCATTGCTAATGGTACACTCTTGGAACAGTCATCACTCTCTGTTGGCATTAGGTACACTGCCTATAGAAAACAATCAATCAATCCATCATTTAATCTATCAATCATTTGCAAGTTAATAAAAATGCTGTGTGACTTTTGGAAATACAACATATGGTAATTTAGTAAATTACCATATAGAAGACTATTGTTCTTTTATATCCCCCACCCCCCACTTAATCCTCTTTCCATCTATTCGCATTCAAAATATTCTTCTACCACCCACACTAGGGCATCATACATTCTCAGCACAACCTTTAAGACAACATTATACAATGTAGTGGGTATGCTTGAACCTTTGATGACCCCTCAAAGTGATCAGATTTAAAATTATGGCTTCAGGTCCATTGGCAGGCTAATTATCAAAAGATTATTAAGCAAATTACTGTATGAAAAGCAACAAACCAGGAAATACTTTTCTATTTAAATTAAAACTTCAGCAAAGGTCATGTTGGATGCCCCAAGGCTGTAAAACTGTAAACAGAGCACCTTTAAGCTTCAAGCATAATTTATCTATATCATATATTTCAAAGATAAACTGTACACCACAATGTTGAAGTGGTGGATTGAGTTTGTACTTACTTTTCTTAACTTATTTGTGAAGAAAAGCGCTTGTAGTAAAGAATTCATATAACAGGTAGCACCCTGGTTCTTTAAACCAACATAGCCTGTCAGCTTCTTGGAATCCCAGCTGAAAACAACCAAAAAGAACATACAGTACTTATCCCCAAAATTAGCAACACACACTTACTGTAAAGACCTTTTTTTTCGCGGCTCTTAAAATGATGCAGAAACCTACCATTATGTTCTTTTTGCCTATATTATATCTACATCTCCCAACTTTCATGGGTTTTTCTTGATTTTTTTTTAGCAACCTCCTACCCTCTTGATTTTTAGACTAGCTTAGGCAGGCCTATTTCAGCTACTCCAGTTTGCCTGTGCGGAGGCTTGACCAAGGTTTTTCAAGGCGATGTGTTGCTTTTAAAGGCACAAGTATCATTCAGAATTCTTCGCGATCGTTGTTTTATCGTGAAAATCATGAAGATCAAGGGCGCGTGAAAATAAAGCGCAACATAGTATATATTATTCTATACATTCTATAGCGGATTCTTATATAATAAAAAAAAATCCAAATGACAATGACTAGATGAGGAGCACATATTCAAATATTCAAGAAGCATGCTTGGGATGATGTGGATCAGTAGATGAAAATACGAATGAATGTTGCTGCGACCTACCTTACACCATGAGGAGCATCAGCGAACACTTTGACCTCTAGGTCGATAGAATCATCCACCACAAACCCCCTCTCTGGATCAAGCAAATCCTGTTAAATTATAAAAAAAAAAAAAAAAAAAAAAAAAAAAAAAACACAATTAGCAATAAAAAATAAATTGTATACTTGATATTCCACCTTAAGGTAGAAGTGGTTGGCACATCGGTTGTGGCTTGCTTATATTTTTCCTGGTTAATGCAGCCTTCAAGGATGCAAGCAACCTGAGCAGGAACTAACAACCATTCGATTTGAAACACAAACACAAAATCACATGATCCAATAATATGATTACCTCATTCCATCTCATTGTTTATATTGCATCAAGAAATTAAATTTCAATTTTGAAGAAAAACAATAACAAAATTATATTTATCATATCTTTTTTTTCCTTATATTTTATATGTTATTTTATATATTTTATAATATTGCTGGCCAGGGGTTTAGAGATGACCACTTGTTGTGTTGGGCTTTAGCCTATGTCATCTTTAGTCAGGCCCCTGGTCAGTATATATTGATATATATCGTGACGATTTTTAAATAAATAAATAAATGTGGAATAAATAAATGCGTATCCATATACAGTCAAATCTCCGAATTACGAACCTCACAAATACCAACTCTTGACATAAAAACTTCATTTAAAGCAAGATATATCAATCTTTTTCAGCCGATATATATTGCATTTTAATCTGTGCATGCTTGTTAAGGCGGCTAATGTGCAGAGGGAATACAGAATCTCACTTTTTGTTCATTGGGGGTGCTATTCCCACTAATTTGTGATCATTTTTGCTTTTAATAGTCATGTTTTCATTCAGAAATCACTTGAAATGAATACTTCACAGGAAGTACAGATAATTTTGGCTTCCGTACAGTATTACAAACTAACCTTAATATGTAGCATACCCACACCACAATACTATGAAAATTCAAACTCCCGGATTAAGAATTCTGTTTGGACAGAGGGGTACGTAATTAGGAGATGCTACTGTGTTTAGTAAAGGGTCAACCTACCTGCCATGAGATGAAATGTCCAAATCCCCAATCATTTTCCTTATTGTAGAAAACATGAGTGATTCCTGTGAAAATAAAGAAAAACAACATTGAGAAATTGAAATAAACTTGACTTATTATACTGTACACAATAATGACTTTAGATTAGATTAAACATAACATCGTAGTTCACCTTTTTAGGTTCATGTCTCAAAGTTTTTATGCTTTATTTATGTGATGATTTCTGACACCAATCAGAATATACAGATATGCCATTCTAGCCTTGTACGATTAATGGTACATAATTTCATACTCGCTCATTTAAAGCCTATCATATTAATGGATACACACAGAACTGACATAAAAAAAACTGACAGTAATCCAAACTAGACAGTCTCAATCATGGATAAATTACTTCCTTATAAATTGTTGTCATATGATTATCCATGTCTCAATTAATCATTGATGCATTAAACTGAAAGGTCCACTGATTAATCTCAGATAAAAAAAAGTACAATAGATACTCCAAATATGAAATGCATGCCATCGTGTTGGGATGCAATATATTAATTATGTCACCATCAGGTGCGAAATAAGAAAATTTATTCCTTGATGATGGCATAATTAATGTTGAAATATTGAATTCAAACACAATGGCGTGCATTTCAATAACTGGATACAAGTACTATGTATGTAAAACGATTTGCATTTAGGACTCAGTGTTAATCTGCTTCTATTTATCATATAATAATTGTAAAAGGTATAATCCTAACCAACCATGTGATCAAATGTGACTTGTGCACAATCAGACTCATTAAATATTCATAAGTCAAAATAAAAATGTTAATATTTTAGGACAAGTGTACAGAAAACTACAAAGATAAATGTCAAAAAGAAAGGTGTCTGTAGATTTCAAGTGGAAAAAAGGTAAAAAACTATAATTGGTGGTAGATAAGTATACGATACTTTTTATTTATAATTCTTTATTTATAATTCTGTAGTTTTCTCTTGCTTTTTATCTAAACAATTTTATGTTATGTTAATGTAAATTTCCTATTTTGATGTTGTAACATAATTCGTAATTTAGCCTTTTTGGCTGTCATGTTTTATGCTTTTTATGAATTTTTGAATTTTGAATAAAATACTATTATATATATACAGTACAGTATAATGAGACAGGTACAGTCCAATGAGACGGGAAGAGGTTGATATGATAAGATAGGCAGAAGAAAGAGTGGAAAATGAGAGCAAACCAAGAGGGAGACCCAGAAAGAGATGGATGGACTGCATCAGACACTAGAAGCCGTAATGGATCACACCAGATGGAGGACGATAATGAGACGACCCAACCCCCCATGAGGGGATTAAGGCGAAGACGATTACGACATACAGTAATACAAGACTTTTTCATCAAATTTTGATGCACCACATCACAAAGAATGGAAAGTTGTTTGTGGCCTCAGAGCTTTTAATTTAAATATATTAAGCATGTATGTACTTCTTTCAGAAACTTTTTATTTCATTTTGCTTACTTTTTACGTGATCTTCTTTGTCCTTCTTGTGGTTCTTCAGTATAAGGTCTGCAGCTGCATGACATGACCATTGTCTTAATTTTAAAGGGGAAAAAACATTGGTTACTACAATTAACTATTATGCAAGTGAAGAAAAGACTTAGGTCTAATTTCCATAAAAATCACTACACACTATCGCTGACTCCTTTGGTTACGCTGATTGGTCAGTTGAACCAGGGAGCATTTCCGATTGCGACAGCTATGGGACAGGGACAGCTACGCAGTGCAACGATTGCAGTAAAAAAAATGTAGCGACAGTGTAGAGATTGTATAGAAACCAGGCTTTAATAATAAATCAAGAGATATAAGTATATGATTGGTAAAAAGAAACTATTGGAGAGAAAAATGTACAAGTTGATGTTTAAATGTGACCTCTCAATATAAAATGATTTGTAATCAAGAGTAAATTCTCCAGTATGATTAAAATCGAAACAGTACTGGGTTTGGTCTATATGAGTTTGTGCTCCCATCAGATTATTCTATTCATAAGAGAAAGCATACCAGATGTTAGCGATAGTAGCCTAGGTCTAATCCCACTACTGTTTCTATTTTTATCACACAGGACATTTACTATTTGGAGAAAACATTTTAAGTATTGATAACGTGTGACCTCTTACTAAAAAAATATTTGTGTTACATTGTAAACCAAAAAAACGAAAATTAAAAAAAAAATAAATAAATAAATAAATTGTAAATTATACAACGCTCTTTATGATGCAGAAGTGGAGATATGGCCTTCAACATGTGCAACAAAAGAGCTTAAAGAAAAATAGCATAAAAGGTAACATCATTTAGTTGTTAAATAATAAAAAATAGAAACAACATGATTGATAAAATAAAACTTACGGGGAATCACAATCGGCGTTACACTGCAAGAAGAATCCCAGGCTCTTCGTTGTGCGCTCATTGTGGCTGGACCGAGGCATTGCCATAATTTTCCTACACAAATGAGGTAGGCAAGAAAGCTTTTTATAAACATAGTAAAAATACGGTTACATTTTGTTATAATATATTGCTGTGATAATCAATGTTGATAAATGTTAGTCAGGCTCTAGAGGAAAAACATTTTGATGTGTTGTGCAACTAAATTTTCTAAGACACAAAAAGCATATTTGACAAAAAAAAGTCGGGAACGGTTAATGAGATGCAGATTTTTTAATATTTAAAAACTTAGAAGAAAACGGTTGGTTACTCCCCCTTTTTTCCCCAATTTTTAAATATTCCAAAGTCTACTTCATGAATACCTGGATAAACCAACTAATTACCTATTCTTTCTCACACGAGAAACACAAGCGGCCAAGCACAAGCGGCTCTGCAACCATGCAACGTCCTCCTTCTTTTTCTGTATCTCATTAACCGTTCCCGACTTTTTTTTTTTTAAATAAGCGTTTTGTGTCTTAGAAAATCAGGTGTACAACATATCCAAAGATATTTTCCCTAAGGAACCTGACTTTAACATCCCAAGTTCTTCACCCTGTGATAGGCTAAGATATAGCACATAGCCAAATAAACCCCATACATCCACATGAAACAACTTGGAGTAATTAATTATTACTCAATTTTATTAGTAAAAAAAAAAACCATTACATTGCCTAGCTTGATAAAACCAAAATTTTGAATATTCTAGGGTTGGTGTTTCATATTTAGCAAAGATAATTTACTTTTACCCAAGAGGAGCCCTACATGTATGTTTAAATAGCCCACTTTTCAAGCTTAATTTAATCAATGTTAATACCTTAACGATAAGAATTCTGGCCATGTGGTTACAATTTTACCAAACAAAATACATGGGATGAGTGATGATTGGTAATGAAACCTAAAAATAGACCTGGGAACTGACTGATGACCCCACTTCCCAAACATCACTATGCCTGGGCATACAATATTATTTGGCCTTATTAAGGCAGCACCATTATAAGAAGAAATAGAAAAAGAAAACTTAAATGAGTAAAGCTTGTATTCCTTGGTAGGGATGCTTTAGTCTTCCTCAGGCAAGTTATAACAGATATCTGTGATTTTCCCATTATAATGACATGATTATGACTCAGATCACACCCTTATATGGGTAAATAAAAACCATACCATGGGCAAATAACATCCATATATGGGCAGATTACAGATGGAACTGGGGTACCTACCATGGCAGATTCCTGACGATAGTTGGTTGACTGAGAGCGGTCTCCTTCAGCTTGCTGATATTCTCTACCGTAAAACTGAATGTTGCCTGTGACCGACTCCCATCTATCAAAGACATAACAAGTAACATCCATCAGCAATGAATACATAAACAAATCAATAAGGCTACGTTCAGACTTGGATATAAGCCAGGCTTGAGTTAAGCCGGCTCAGCGTTAAGCCCAGCTTAACTTTGTCGGGCGTTCAGACTAGCAGGTTTAGCCAGGCGAGAATTTGCATAATATTAATAATGAACCGTAACCAGGAAACGTGTTTTAAAACATAGCTCGCGAAACGTACGCTCGCTCACAGCGTACGTAATTGAATGCTGATTGGTCATTTAGTCACCCGAAGTCAATGCAAGACCCCCGCAACGAAAAGCCCGGCTTAGAAAAGTTTTAACACGGTGGCGCGCCAGGCCTAGTTACTATAGGAACACAGCCCGGCTTGAGATAAGCCACTTAGTTCAGACTGGCAGGTGGATAAACTCGGTGAGTTTAGCCGGGTTTATCCACCTAGTCTGAACTAGGCCTAAATTTACTGTTCCTCATCATAATTAATTAATATTCAAAATAGATCCATTATCCGTAGAATAACAACAAAATCTGGAAGTTCTATAGCATACCGTTCATTTGTTAAAATTTCACAACAGGATTCCAATCCATTTGATATATTTTTTGCATGTTACATTTTTACTTTTTATTTTGATTTATAAAAATGTTTATTTTATATTTATATTAATTTTATTGCTTTATTTTGTTAAAGGAACATTCAGAGACAATTTTATAAATATTTATTTTTATTCCTGAATCGTAATGTACATATTTTTATATTGTATAAACTTATTATTCAAAAACCACTATAATTAATGTTACTCTGAATTATGAAAGTAAAAAAAAAATGGATTGATTCGTGACTATTAAGCAATAATTATAATTACCTTCTTGTCTATAAACTCAGAAAACTAACTACAATATGAAAACCAACAAAACGAAAGGAGTTTTGCCACCTAACTGGAAGTAATGAAAATAATTATATCATTATTGTATTTTGGGGTTCATCCATTTTTCATCATATTAAAAGACAATCTTTCCTTTGACCACCTTCTCTCCCCTCAAAGTATTATGATAAAAATGATTGTTGTCATATTGAGGTCATTATTTTTTCACTTTCATAAAGATAAACACTGTTGATCCAACTCCTTAGCATATGTTTTGTACTCTCATAAAAATTACAAAAAAAAAAAAATTAGATAAATGGATGACACATTACAGTAGGTTACTAATTTTCAAAGATTATGATTAGTTCTTCCATAAACTCCAAAACCTAGTAACCTAAATAACTATAAAAAAAATAAATTTAAGCACCTTTTCCTCTTTGTCATTGGATACAAAAATACAATGTGAAACCGCCTCCACTTCTCTAGGGATTATTTCTGGTTGCATGCATAATCAGCAATTTCAATCCAGAACCTTACACCTTCAACCAGGTACCAATTTATAATCCAGGATGAAGAGAGGCGAACATACAGTACCACCAAGAAATATTGAAATTTTATTTGCGCGCAGGCTTCGTAGATACATCGTAGCCTGATATAAAAAATCTAAGCAAGGCTACGCGAAGCGAACCTACGGAGCAAAAGCATGTTGTTTATTTGTATGTGCAGAAAGACTGCTGTAGCTTACTGGAATAAACAATGTATTGCTTGATAATTTGTGAATGACAAACACGAGTTTAGACCGTTAATTTAAAGTATGGAGCTTTTTTTCAATAAGAAAAACGTACACTTGACTTCATGGGAGTCTCCTCTTCCATTCGCTGTCCACGACAGGAACTTGTTTGTACTGCTGTAATATTTTTTTAATTAATTAGCCTAGGCCTATCTTATTTTTTATTTACAATTATTTTACCTCTTTTAAATGTCAAAAAATGATGTCCTCAATGACAATACACACATGTGAAAAGATTGTTCATCAAATAATATTTTGTAGTCTTGGATTTAGTAAGATAAATAATAAATATAAAGCAGAATTAACGTCCGTTGTTTGTAAAATTACCTAATGTCGCATGGAAAAACCCAATGGAAAATAAAACTTAGCCAGCATTAGACGTCAGAGTGCGCGCCAATCAGAACACAGTAAAGTGTGTTCAAGGTTAACCTCGTGGCAAATGTTGAAAAGCTGTGAGCAACAGTGAGTAAAAAATGAAGTAAATGCGGTCTAGCATGACTAGCCTTAATTCGGCAAGGTAGTGATTTCTATACTTCCATTACTGCTTCAAATTACGGTAAATAATAAACAACGTGATCTGTAGAAATCGTAATAATTTGTACATGATTTGTCATCAGTATTATTATTTAAAAGAAGAAAATTCCTACTACCAGAATAATAATATCAGATCAAAATTCACCGAATTGGAAAGTTTACCAGAATAATTACTGTCTGCTCTCCTTCTATATAGGGGAAAATGTAGGCCGTACGTAGGATCAAAATTCGATGCCTACTAGGTTACCTAGCTAGCGAACTAAACACAGTTTTAAAACATGATCGATCTAATAATAAGGTAGAATAACAAAACAATAAATTTCTAACATTGTTTATTAGTAAATTACAACATTGCTCATGTATTGAAAGCTGGTAAACTATATTTCAATATTGTTTACGCATTGTTTATCAGCCCGAAGATCCAGCCTACGATCATTGCAAAGCTAATTAAAATAACAATGACCTTCGTAGTGGTTCGTAGCTACGTTCAAAACGTACCTACAAGCAGATTACGAGAGGTTACGCGCAGATACGAAGCGATAATTTGTGTCTGTACTGTGAATGACTATAAAAATAATATAACACATCGCTTAAGATATTTTTTTTCTCTTTTTTTTTAAATCTAAGCACTTTTTCCTCTTTGTCATTGGATGCAAAAATACAATGTGAAACCTCCTCCGCTTCTCTAGGGATTATTTCTGGTTGCATGCATAATCAGCACTTTCAATTTCAATCCAAACTTTGCACCTTCGACCAGGTACCAATTTAAGATAAATTGTCTTCCCCACGGACTCAAGCAAAATATTATTATTATTATTATTATGACCAGTGTTGGTCTCAAACCTACAACTTTCAAAATGAAAACCTTTAGTTTAAGGTAAAATGTAATATAATTTGAAAATAAAAATAAAGGAAGTAAGTATCCACTCTTATATCAAATTCTTCTATATAAAACCAAAAATACTGTACACTGTCGATGTCACAATAATGCACTGTACAACTGGTTGTTTTCATGAAATTGACATAATACAGACAAATCTCTTCAAAAGATGTGGAGTATATTACAAAGCTTTATGCTTTACGTGCAATAGAATTAATAATAAAAAAAAAAAAACACACACACACATCAATGCTTCAGCGTATGCCAGTGTTCTCAAAACGCTGGTTAAATGTCAAGGTGTGATAGGGCCATGACAGGTCCAGTTTCATAGGTAACAGAATAGTCGAAACTTTTATGATTTGTATCGATACCGATTCCAACGCATACTAATTTAATCTCGTAATGTACAGCTTCTTTGTCATTGGATGCAAAAATACAATGTGAAACCTCCTCCACTTCTCTAGGGATTATTTCTGGTTGCATGCATAATCAGCACTTTCAATATCAATCCAAACTTTGCACCTTCGACCAGGTACCAATTTAAGATAAATTGTCTTCCCCACGGACTCAAGCAAAATATTATTATTATTATTAATGTGACCAGTGTTGGTCTCAAACCTACAACTTTCAAAATGAAAACCTTTAGTTTAAGGTAAAATGTAATATAATTTGAAAATAAAAATAAAGGAAGTAAGTATCCACTCTTATATCAAATTCTTCTATATAAAACCAAAAATACTGTACACTGTCGATGTCACAATAATGCACTGTACAACTGGTTGTTTTCATGAAATTGACATAATACAGACAAATCTCTTCAAAAGATGTGGAGTATATTACAAAGCTTTATGCTTTACGTGCAATAGAATTAATAATAAAAAAAAAAAAACACACACACACATCAATGCAACATATATTCCTGAATGCATTCTCAGATCATCATGTTAAATTGCTTTCTTATATTCACATTTGTGTTTTTGTGTCCATTTTTTCCTCCAATTTTACCATGTTGTATTTTTGACAATAATTTTATTTACACTGAACTTTGAGTGAGTAGAGTTGTAACTGACCTTGTTCTAACCACTCTTCATCAGGGTCTGGATTTTCATCCTGTGCGTCCATTGCCATGTCGCCATTCACAACCGCACTGTTGTCATCTTCTTTGCCGCCTTTTGCCGGTGACCTATTGCCTACATCAGGCGAGTCGTGATTTGACGAGACCAACTCCGGCTGAAGTTCTACGCCTGGTGCTAATGTATAAACAAACAATAATTCAGTTAAATATAGTGCTTGGCGATCAAATGCAAAAAAAATCATTTAGAATATGTATGCCTGCAAGGTAATATATTTCGCATTCTTTACGGCTTTGATTCAACAGTGCTTTATCAATTTCTGGGAAACCTTCTCTTGTTTGAACAGAACAATCCAAAACAAAAGGACATGCTGCACCCCCTTGCATTTTATTATTTTGTTACTAAATGGTTCTATCTGGTTGTACATGCAAAACTGGTAAGATTTTCAACTTTTAATAATTTTGTTGTATCATAATGAGCATATCATATAACAAGATAATTTACAGACTTTAAACTTGAGTAGGCGTTTTCTAATTTGCACTGACCTACGCAGTGGAATATATTCTATGAATCCTTCAAGGAAAAATAAACTACTGTGCATTAATACCATTCATAAAGTGCTCAGCACATTTACTATTATTACTATACATCCAAATAATAGTTACTATGTTATAACACACCATTCATTTTCTGTGATGATAATATAAGTCAATGCGTTTGTCAATACAACCAGTATAGGCCGAAGACAGAACATTTGTACAGCACTATAGAAATGCCTTTTGAAAAAAGGTACACAGCAAAATATAGTACCATACTTTATTTTTTGTGAAAAATTCTCTATTAATAACAAACCAATTAATTTGAAATAATCTTTTATAGTTTCCTGACACTTTTAATGTTCATTGCATGAACATAAATCTTCAGAGTGACAACTCTATTGTTAAGTAAACGGCACACCAATAGGTGGTGTTCGCTTAAAACAGTAGGGTAGGCTAGGGTTTTTTTTGTCTTATTAATTGGTTTGATAAAATAGAAAATTTCTCGCATCTTTTCTAGAAACCAGAAGAATATTTTCAACCGTACTTATTTTTTGGTTTCTTTTTCAGAAAGGGTAAAAAGGTGTAATACTAATAAATTTCCTAAGACACTTGAGGGGTTTTGAAGAAATAGAACAGTTCCTGTAAGGTCTAAAAAAATAAATTGTTGGTTTGCCCTTTAATGCTGAAAATTGTATAAGAGGGGCAGGCGCAAAAACATGTTTTTTTTCTCTCTCCTGTCACCAAAATCAACATATTAAATTGCAATGCTTGCAATTAAGCCTGTCTCACTCTTTGTTTTTCAAAGACTGAATAAAAAAACAAACTCATAATCGATATTTTGCAATGAATTTAGGCCTAGAATAGCGATGTCTAAATCTGGTGCAAAATGGAGAAAAATAAGGATCACTTTTTAAATTTGTGAACAAAAAAAATCGAGATTTTTTTTTTTTTTAAACACCGCTCCTGTTTTTCCATGATCTAGGGGCGGGTGCTGGAGGGCAAACATTTTTTCTTAGGCATAATAAGACACAGATTTATGAATACTCAAACTGGAAAAACGGGATAGGGGCATTTTAAAATGCCTTTAGTCAAAGTACATGTAGAAAACCCATAAAGCTCGAAAAAAACCCATATTTTTTAGGCAGACGAAGAGGCATCCAGATATTCTGGGGAGAATCATGGACATCATTTAACCATAGACCTATATTAGGTCCAAGATTCAACCATGATGCAAATTGTAAAGGATAGATCATTTATATTTCAGTTTCAGTATCACCTTGAATCACATGCAGTATATTCTGCATTGTCTTCATACTTCCTCGGTCTCCCATTTAATCATCACAATTTAAAACAAAGAAACTATAATTGAAGCAACTAGGACATAATATATTTATTATTCTTATTTTTTCTAGATTCCCTTTCATTTTCTGTTAGATTCTTGAAACTAATTATTCTATAAATAACTATCAGTGCCTGCCAAATTGCATTTAGCTAAATGACAGAACCTGGCAGTCTTCTCTCATTTAGATATTAGATGCAATGGACACTACGATAAGGAAATGTGCTCTTCTCCGGATATGTTATTGGCTGATCCTTTGATTTTTTGGTATTAATTTACACCAAGCGCACTTTTAAATATAGTTGGTTGTTTTCTTATTTTCTGTGCGGATTTCGAAGAGAAAACCATTGAATAGAATAAACTGTTCACAGGTTTAGCAAGGCATAATTTTAATCTTTATAATTAAAAACAATCATTTTCCAAAGTACAGTACGTTTTTAGACATCTGAATTGGCTAAGTTTAATCATGGTTGCAGGGACGGATCCAGATGTCCAAAAGGAGGGCCGAAAGGGGGAGACAACACTACCCCAGGGGGTCCAGGGGCATTCCCCCGAAAAATTTGTGTTTTCTAGACGCTCAGAAAGTAACCTCCGAGGCGTTTTGGGCGATCAATCATTTCTTTTTCTCTACTGATTTTTTACTTTCCAAAATGGGGTTGGGGCCCGCCCGGCCTCCCTAATTCCTTCCCTGGGTTGAATAGCAAGCATACCAAGTTTATTTGCATAACTTAATAATGTTCGAGGGAATATTTTGTAAGGCTGTACTGTTCTGTACTTTATCCTAAAATGGTATAATAAATAAATAAAATAAGATAAAGAACAATAAAGAAAATCAGCGAGTTATTAAAATAATTCATGCAAATGAGCTCGTTAATTGATTTACGGGTTGTCAACTCGGCACGCATAGTGACAAACTTTTGAACTCTGCCTCAAACATTCTAGGCTCATCCCCCAAGGGTATCGTCAACATACGGTCATATTTCATCCATCCTGCCCCTACTACTTCTATCCCTCTGACAGGTAAACTCGCATTCTAATGATCACATACTAAGCATAATATGAAATAAATTTGACTTAAGAATCAACCAATCAGTGTCATGGGATTCAGTTGCACCTGAAGTGGGGGGTGCAACCGCAACATGCAAGCCCACATGTGCATCCTCATAAAAATTAATCGTTTCATGGGTGCTTTTGAATCGACCTTCTGACCTTTGAACCTACATTCATCACTGACAACATAATATAGTTCTGTGATTAAAAAACCATGCTGAGGAGCCATCATAGTACACTGTAACTAATTTCACAAGAAATATTATTGTACTCTGACATCATATCAATGATCCATACCACTAATAATAGACAATGTACACTAACTTCACCAAACGTTGTATTTACAAGAAATTATATTTACTTTAATTGTGCTCCTGTTATAAAAATAGGCAATATGACTAGAAAATTCATGTGGAAATCAGAAACTATAATATTAAGAATACAATATTGCCATGTACTGTATTACTGATTATTGGGTACAAGTAGCTAGACTGTCATTCTGATTGAGATAAATAATAAGAATATATAAACTACCTAGTAATAGTGGCTGCCAGTGAAGTATAATTAATAAGAAAATATGGGCTTTTACAGAAATTACACAAATCAATTGTGATGTTTGTTGATTCTAGGAGTGCAATACTTACTTGGATAACCTTCTCTCCCTTCCTAACCTCTCCGTAATCTGTCGGGTATGAGGAATAGTGTTAGGGGGACAATTCATGCCGCCCTGGGCCGGATTGTACCATCTTATTCGAAAGGGGTGTTCCATTATTTTCAAGAAGAAAGAATACAGTAGTTGGAGAGTTTGAAGATCAAATAATCTTGATAGTTTTTGTATCAGAAACTATCTTTTAACTATCTACTGAATTGAAAATTCCTCAATATTTTCAGCTAAATTGTCAGCTTGAAAACATGGATTTCAATGAAGTTTATATAAAAATAGTCTAGGCCTCTCTGATCACAGAAAAATAAAGTGTCGTTAGAATTCCTTGATAGATAGAATTATAAAGGTCTTTCAATTAAGTGGTTTATAAGCATAAAGGACAACTTCAGAGAAAATAACATTTATTGGAGCACGATGCAAACAACTGCAATAAAACTTCTGATTAAAATGACTAATCCTTTGGTCTTTAAGATGGGTTAGAACATGAAAACAATACTCCCTCCACAATATCCTGTGTTGATAGATCACACATAAGTTATTTTTTATTACGGTATCCCTTCAAGAAGCCCCCAATGATCAGATTGTTACTACAGGTATGTGTGGCAAAGACAAACCAGTCACTCGTCGCAAATCGTGTTTTAGAGATAATGACCAAACCATGCGGAAATGTCAACATTTTTGAAATCTATTTCATTGCACAAAACTAACCTTTATATACATCATCATATGCTCTTATTTTGCCTATTTTCAATGTTAAAACAACAATTATTAATGATTTGGTGATGGTTTCTGTCTGAGAAATGCCCAAAATCATAAACTTTGAAGGCTGGTTTCTCAAATATTGTTCTTTAAACAGCTGTATGTTTAAATGCTTGTAACTTCATAAGGAAATGTTGGATTTGAATGATATTTTTTACCATGTTATACCTCTCATTTTACTGTTTAACCCTGTATTAATAACTAAAAATAATTGTTTGCAATGAGTGACTAGTTTGGCTTGTCTTTGCCACATATGCTGTATGTTTAAATGCTTGTAACTTCATAAGGAAATGTTGGATTTGAATGATATTTTTTACCATGTTATACCTCTCATTTTACTGTTTAACCCTGTATTAATAACTAAAAATAATTGTTTGCAAAGAGTGACTGGTTTGGCTTGTCTTGCCACATATCCTGTACCTGTAACAATAACAAAGCCATCAATGTTTGTCCTAGTACTGTAATGATCTTTACTATTAATATTAATTATTGTTTATAACATTAATTTCACCAGATATAATTTATTAAAGTGTGTACACCCAAGCCTGCAATGTAAAATAGAGTATGATCGTATGTACAGTATTCCTTAGAAAACTGTAAGCACAATTGAAAGATTCCAGAGACTTTCAATAGTCACTTTGAGCGAGCTCCATTCAAACTACAATTTCTATATTTAGTCACAAGTTGGGATTGGAAGGCAAATATCTTAACCACTAGAAACTATAACTCCAATCCAAATTTGCTTATTCTTTGTTATCGTTATCGTAGGCAATGTCTGGTGAAAGTTCCATCTGTTTCAGCCACGACTAAGATATATTTAATATCTAGAAAATCAGGGAAGAAAAGTGTTTTCTGTTTGTCTTATAATTGAAATATACACTAACCTTGCTTTACAAATTAATTGGTCCGTCATATTAGTTACCTGTGAGAAGTTAAAATTAGGCTCATTTCTTGTATTTTATGCCTGGCCTAGGCTTCTCTTGTTGAATTGACATAAAACATGTTTTTTTGCCTTCCTCACATTATTTTTATTAATTTTAAATCAATATTAAGAAGCATATTTATTATATATCATAAGTATCAGGATATTTATTAGTCAATCAATTAGTCAACTTGTCCGACAACATACAATACAAAATGTGTTTCATACATCGCATCGCAGATGAACACTAATGTCATGGATCATACAACATCGTCATGGTCATAGCACCACACACAACTACAGGGAAAAAATCCATTGTGTTGAATTCAACTGTTATTTTCTTTTGTTTCCTTCTAAGTGTACTGACTTTGACATAGACTTATTATCTGTATGCTATTTCCCAGTGTTTCTTTTGAACATTGATCTTTTGTTCTTCCAACACTGTTTATTAAGATTGCATATTTCGGCAGACTAGTAGTATGCTTTGTACACCATTCTTTGTTGTTGTAGGACTGCCCCCATTATCTCAGTTGTATATTATAGTTGTTTCTTATCCCATTTGTACAGTCTCCTGATGTAGTCCACTGTGTGGACGATAATTAGAGAATAAATTCTATATTGTTAGTCGCAAAAGTACTGTTGTTATTTACTTTATATTTTCTTTTGTGAAACTTCATTCAAAGAACTTCCAAGATGTATCATTTATTGTACATTTGGTATAATATTCAAAAATTAGATTTGAATGGTACAGTTAGCTGAGTAATATGGCATTTAAAAATATAAAAAAAAAAAAAAAATTAATATTATTAATTTTTGAAATATTAAATGTTGGCACAGCCACACGCCACGCAACTAAGAGCTATGTCATTAAATAATATGTAAAACATTGTATTTGAATTATTTCCATACCAGAGATGATAAACTTATATTACAAAAATATAATAATTGCACTTCTCGGACTTTTGCAAAGTGCCTACCAAAGTAGTTCTCATTGCAGTTGTGAATGTAATTGTACATGCACAAGTTTTGGGTTATGTCAATCACTTTAAATCAAAAATGAAATGTCTTGAACCTGCAAATAAAATAGATAATCATAATAATAAATGTTGCAAAAGCAGAACTGGGAAGCAGAAGCCACCAAATTCAATCAAGTTTTCTCCTTTTTAAATAAAGAAAAACAGATGAATGGTTATACATTTGACGTATTAAAAACAGCTCAGTAAAGTATTAATTGAACATGATATACAATTTACTAAACAGTTTATGAATGAAGAAATTGCATAAATACTGCAGCTGGTACCAATTATCCTTCCTCATCGAAAGTTTAAAATTAATATTTACTAGGGGCCTAGGCTAGCCTAATTTAAATTCATATCTACTGTATGTAGGCCTAGGCCTACTCCATAGGAAGCTTGAATAAAAATGACAGTACCGAATGGTCTACCTCTGTATCATCAGTCAGTATTCGTCAGTAGGCCCCTCTAGGCCTAGTAGTAGTACTAGGCCTAACTGGATGTCACTAGAATACCTAGAGGCCAGAGCCCCTAGGTTTAGGCATCCCCCTCCTAGGCCTATAATAATATAAATAAGATTAGAATGATGATTTCCTGGCTGGGTGCAAAACCACCACACACAACGGTGTGAGAAAGATAATAATGGAAAGAAGTACACGCTACAAATATGATCAACCTACCCTCTTGCGTTTCCATCTCCTCTGTCTCGTCAAGGTTCTGCACCCGGTCTTGCTCGTCCTTCTTATCTTGTTCACCCAGGTGATTCATCATTCCATTTGCACCTTTCTTATGTCCCGTTCGCTTACCACCCTTCTGTTTCGTGAGCGAGCCCTTCTCACTGCCCTGAGACGCCGGAGCTTTGTGAGACGCCGGGGGCACCTTAACGTGCTTGCTCGCGATGCGCCCAATCTCTGCTGTCGTTACCCCTGCATGCAGGGGGATTCATGAAGAAAAGAATTCAATGGACTTCAAAACAAAATGATAGCTGCAATATACTTTACGGGCGTTTCTATCTGCATCTCTTTCTGCGCCACCGCACTCAATGAAAAATGGCGATAAACTTCAGTCACTGATGTATTGTGGGATATCTGAATGGGTTATCGAAATCGTATGAATAGTTCGTAGAAGCAGATATTTTTAAAAATACTACTATAAATTAAGCAAATATTGTTTGGTAAATTATTCAAAGAATCATTATAATACATGTAATACATCAGGAAATAGCTAATACATACAAAGTAAAATCGTTTGATCTTTAATTACATCTGTAATCTAACAGGGTGTCAGTATTAGAAGGCTAGGCCCAGTTATTTGTATGACACGCCACATATTAATTGAATTAAATTTTCATATGCACAATTGTCTGGCATGGTTTTGGCTATATGAAATATCAGATGTATTGTGAATTATTTATATATTACAACTCGAAATTCTTTAGTTAATTAAATCTTCTGTGAATATATCTGATGTGCAAAATAACATTGGCGTGTTTGACGTACCGTCGTCAAAATTGCACTGTAAACTTTGACCTCAGGTCAATATAGAAAGGTTAACGACCGTAACGATTGTAAAGAAGTTTTTGTCACAGCCCTTCGAAACGTCATTTAGATTACAGCATTTATATCCTTGAATCACATGAAAATTGCCTAATAGTGACATCTAATTGAAAGTTCACCATGAGTGAACATAGAGAGCGAGGAGATGACTCTGGAAGTGATATTAGGGCATCAAATTGGGAGCAACATTGTCTTGATATTTTGGATGGTGAGCCGAATTTGGACGACGAACGCCTCCCGCAAGAAAATAAAATCGCTTTCGAACAACTGTGGTATTCATTCCAGACCTGTGCGAGTGCTGTGACCCAACTGTACAAAGGTAGGCCTAGCCCTCTATATAGAGTGAAATCTATGATTTTGTACCACAAATTGATAATATTATACGTGTATAAAAAATGAAAATTTGATGAGATAGGCTTAGGGCCTAGGCCTAGATATATAGTTTAGCCTGCCTAGGCCTAGATAATGTTAGACGGCTAGGCCTCTAGCTGGGTATTCCTCTAGCCTAGGGCCTAGTAGAACTAGTAGTAAGTGCTGGTTGGGATACAGGATATAGGGCCTACTGCTGCTGAGAGATAATGTTATTATAATAAAAAAAATGTTTAGGCCTGCTGTAGACTGTTTAATTAGTCTACTATTGTGACTATAGAACATTCTAATAAGAAATGCAAACAACACTTAGAACTAAATCATCCCTTATTTTCCCGAAATGGGTGGACAGATTTCTAGGCCAAATTTTTGCGCAGAAGAGGATACATTCCCCTCGCAGGCCTTACTATATATTATAGTCTCGACAATGGACCTTATCAGGAGACTCAGGACGACTTAAGTCAATAAATTTAGTCTTAAATGTGCTGAAATTTAAGTCTTGTAAGTCTACAGTACAGTATGTCTAAATAATATGAATATAAGTCATTTTGTTTGCACCTTTGTTTAGTGGTATAATTTGAGTTTTTGTATGTTTTTAGTAACCTGTTTTTCTTTTGAATTTTGCATTAATATATAATTTGTGTTTTTGTATTTTTTTTCAGTATGATTATTTGTCTTTTTTACAGTTGTTATTGATTCGGAAATTTAACTAAGTACGATCTTTGGAAACTAATAACATTCTGACTAATTAATACTTAACTGAATACAGTGTTTCTTCTGTTTTTACCTGCACTTACATTGTTAACTCATTCTACAGTAATTATGTGTTTACAAATACATAATCTATGCAAAAACAGTCAACTATTAAATAAATAATAATAATAAATAATATAAAATATAATATAATTAATCAAATATAATAATAAACTTAATTTAGATGAATAGCTCATTATAATAATGCATTGTGAACCATCTTAATAATATTGAGATGGAAAGACTTTTTTAACCTACCATGACCAAGCATATTGAGGGTTCTCACCAGCATTTTGGAGTGGTGGTCAGTGACCACACCCACCCCAGGGTGCGTGGTTGCCGCCACCACCCAACACACATGGGGAATATTTCAAATTGTAAAATAGCGAAAATAAAAGGGCTCTATATTCTGCATTAATTGGCCACACCCCTCTTTCTTTAATATCATCATGTAGTGAATGCTTCTATCTTAAGTTTTACTAATAATGTGTTTCATTTTTTGGCTATTAATGTAGAAAAAAATCTCTTGTCAAAAATTGGACAAGGTTGCACATACCTGCTTTTCCTGCTCAGTTTACAGTAGTCAATATTTTTTTAAATGTCGGTGTCAATTATTCATTGGCAAAAGGAGGATTAAGGCGCTCCTTCCGTTCGATAGCCTGCAGGTCACCCTTGGGCAAGGTGTATTACCTGTTAAGCCTCCCGAACCAGGGAAACGGTGAAAACGTCGGCAGCAGGGCGTTGGATGGCCAAAAGGCGGAAGAGTCTCTTACAGACCAACGGCTTGAAGGTCACTACAGCTAAGCGGATGATCCATACGTGGACAACGGTTAGGTGTTCACAAGACAAGTTAGCTGTTACTGCGCGGGGGAAGGTAATGGCAACCCACCCCCAGAACCTTGCCTTGTATATTCATGGAATGTCTAAAAGCAAGAAGAAAAATAACAACGTGAAGGACACTGGAAATGGGGTCTCGTTCGGTAGGGAATATCATTCATTGCAGGTGATACCCGATCGTCATCACGCTACTGCAATAAATACAACAATATCAAACATCTCGACTTGGAATGTAAGAACGATGAATCAAAGTGGAAAAATGGACAATATCTTGAAAGAAATGAGACGGTTAAGCATCAACATCCTGGGTGTGTGCGAAGTGAGATGGCTGTCTCTTATACACATCTAGATGTGTATAAGAGACAGGGGTTAGGGTTAGGGTTAGGGTTAGATACTTTTATTTAATTTAATGTATTTATTTTATTCAAATAATTCAAATACTTTTTTTACATTATGTATTTACTTTTATACTTGATCAAAAATAATACTTATTTTACATTTAAAAAAAAACAGGAATAAGCTAATAAACTTAGCAATACCGTAAATGCTCGAATAAGTGCCGCGGCGCTTATAAAATTTTTGGAGGCTTCAGTGCGGCGCTTATTCAACAGCGGCGCTTATTTGAGAGCGGTGCTTATTAAAAAAATATTGGCGTGGCGCTTTCCATGCCTGTTCCCATGTAACCTATTTCACATATTCCCGTACAGTTCAGTAGGCCTACATCATAGGTCCTATCATCATAAACAAACGTTTATAAAGAAATTATTGTGTCTTCATTGTTTCATTTATTCATTTTAACAATGTATACAATGTATTTAAAACCCTGTTTCATTGCACAAAGTGTAATGTTATATACTCTCGATTAAGCACCGCGGTGCTTATTCGAGAGCGGCCCTTAATGAAAAAAGTCATGTTTGGTACGGCGCTTATTCGAGCATTTACAGTATACATAAATAATTTAACTAAACTAAAAAACTAAGAAAACAAGTTAAATTCTGTGGAGTTTTCGTTTTTTGAATAACATTACAGTAAGGAAAATTATTAGGAATATGTCAAATAATGACAATATGATATATGTATATCAACCCAGGGGCGGATTGCTAAATTATAAGCGGCCTTTAGCCGGCTATAATTATGACGTCATTACTGGTCTACGATTATAGACCATTGCTAAACCACAGTCTAAGCAGTTAGCTGTTTTTATATTTAAAGCCTACTCGGAGGAGTCTTAAAACAATTTTTACAGTAAATCATTTTTACCATGGTGTTACAGGTACTGTACAACAGTAGACCTAGCCATAGATCGTTAAAGTCCAAGAATCAAACTTCTCAACGTCAGTAAAAACTGGTCTTCGTTTATTTACGTCCATTTTCATAAATGTGCATGGTGTATACATGAATTGACTAAGCTTGATGTATGTGTAACAGCGCCCTCAATTTGATGTTACCAGGGAGTGCTTGTTAGCGTTTGAGTAAACGAAGACCGTTTTGTAGCAATAGTCTTAGCAGAGTGACTTTAGTTAAAACGTCTAAGTGATAAAACAGCTTTATTCGAGGAGTACCAGTTAAGACCGTTTTATTGCAGATACTTTTCATCTATTTTTAGTCTTTCCTGTTTCATGGTGTATGAAACTGCTAATTTTGCCATTGTCTTTTCCATCTTTTTTTTTTTTTTGTGTATCATTCCAGATCGTCATCACCATAGTGATTCAGGAATTCATTGGATAAACTTTCAGAATGCAGCAGCTGCTGTTACGGCCCTCCACAAAGGTATGTTTCCAAACCCTACAATTTTCATTCCCTCTTCAAACCATCAAAACAGCACTTTAAAACCTTTTCTAAAATGGATTGGCTGCTTCATCCAAAAATGCATGTCTGATAAGACAAAAATCTGATAGAATTTATCTGGCTTTACATTCCAGCATGACGAGTGACAATTTGATTTATCCTTCAGATTGCAAAGTTACTCACATCTAGTGAAAATGTTAACATGATCATATTATCCTTTTTTTAAAACTAATAGAGAGTATTGACATGTACAAGAGGGGTATGGACATGGGCATGCAGGCGGGTTACCAGCGACGCACCAGGGACATAGTCGGCTGGGCTAAAAAGCGGAGAAGGCTAATACGTAGAGAGGACCTATTATCGTACATGTGTGGAAAGCCAGCACCCCTGCGCCACCGACCCTCTCAGGTGCCTCGTGCTTCCATGGAGCGTTCCTCACCACGTCTACACTCACCACCTCATGAGAGTATTAACCAATCAGATGATGGCTTACAGCCATTCAGGGATGCCTTAGCATTGCAAGGTATTTAATTTCTTGTTATTCAGAATGTTAACCATGTTTTCCTAAAACAAGTTCTCGTATCTTGAAAACTCTGATGAGGGCAGTATAATAGAGGCAGTAGAGCTAAAACAGATCTATTAATCAATCAACTATTAATCAATCAGACTCATGAGGGCAGTATAGCTAAAAAGGTCTTAATTAATTAGCCGAGTGATTCTAGAGCTCCTCATCATAGCTAAAAATTCTTTAAGAGTGAATGGAAGATTTTGCACAGTTAAAAATCAGAAAAAATATATTATGAAAAAGTATAAACAAAGATGCCTTCACTCCATGTAATTAACCTGTTGCAAATTTTATTTCAAGGTTTGAATGGGGCAATGGCAGATGTACAGGTTGGCGTTTCTCAATCCCCTCCACATGGACGACGTCGCCATGGTAACCTATCAGATTATTTTTATGATGAACTTCTATCCCCGAACCAACAAGATAGTAGAAAACGAAGCAACTCATCGAGTGATGTACACATGGATTCACCAACACACAAACGAAATCGTCTGCTATGAATCTGAATGGGCAAGATCTGTAGAAAACGCCATTAGGAACACTAGAATAATAAAATAATTTTTTTTTTCCTTTTGTCAATAATTGTGAAATTATTCAAATATCCGTTTGTACAGTAAAGTTAACATAAAATTTAAGTTAACAATGTCGTTGGAAACACATTAAGGTAGATGTGAGTGTCCGTGAATAATATGTGAACAAAGAAATCTGTGTTTTTTTTTCCTTTGGGATAAGAAAATAATAAAATATTTTCAGAGAATATCTGAATTTTGTGGTCAAAGTATGTGTTGGCTTGCAATGTCTACAGTATGTATTATAATAATATTAATAGTTTCTAAACTATGGCATATTAATGTACCATACCAGCTTATGTACAGTATTGCACCAGAAATCTTGTTACATAACTTTAGACTACATACTTCATTGTTGTACATATATCAAAAGTCATAAAGCATTTTATGAATTTTCATAAATTTTACTAATCTTTAAAATGTTATTTCCGTAACATTTCTCATAACCCCTTATGTTTTGCTCTTTATATACATAAGTATTAGTTTATTTCTTTTTTAAGATTGAATCGCTTGATACAGTTGTAAATAGCTTTATAAATTTTATTTTAATTTTTATTAGGTAATTTTATTTAAATTGGTAATTTATATAAGAAAAGACTTATTTACAAAGAGACAGTTAAGTAGAGATCTAATTCATAACATTGTAAAATTAAGAATTAAGGTAATTCTCAGCATGCTACACAGACAATATAAAGTAAAGTAGTATTTTACTTAGAAAGCTTTACTTTACTTGTGTACCAAACTTGTATCTAAAGCCTTGTTTGCTGTCGGATAGGAAACTCCAGTCCCACATCTGCACGATAAAAGACACGTGATTAAAACTGACCTGAAAAAATGAGCGTATTGCTGCTTGTTTTCAATCCCTTTGTCAACAAAAGTTTTAAAATGTAGGTAATCGATTATTACATTTTTTTCAAATAATAATAGTGGTTGGTATTCACGCTGTTTATCAACAGCGACTTCCAGCGATGACTCACACAGGTCAAACAACAGCTAATTTGTATAAAAGGTCGCGCCGGTGATTTATGTTAACACCACTGCAATGCAGAGGTAACTGTGTGTATCATCGTGGTTACTGTTCCGTTATGCGTAGTTACTAACTCTGTTTATACGGTCATTTAACACCTATATCAACGGATAATCGCGGTGATCATCTGCCGTGTAAACAAGGTTATAGTCAACTAAATATAAATCAAAAGTGAGTGACCATGTCTAAAAATCACGTAAATAATAATAATAAAAGTTATTATTGCACAAATTGAAAACAATGATATAAAATGTCATGACATGTATCTCCCTAAATTGTATAATTGTACCTGTTGGTTAGACTATGTACTGCTTATGCACGTTATTTGGGATGGTGCAATGTCCAAAGATTAAACAAGAAGGGAGGGGTGAAGTGGGGAGGGTTGGATTACTTGTGTCATTGAAAAAGCACAGGAACTCAAGTGTTACATTTCTGATAGATTTTCATACAAACAGTAATAATTTCACCCTATCCTGCTTTGGTAATGTACTTTTGCACTCTAGATAGGAGACATTGTCTTTGTAATCAGTATTTACAATCTTACAATCAATACTTAATAAAAATAATGAATAAATAATTCTTTATTCTTGATAGTAATTCATGTTCAAACAATCTTAAGGTGCTTAACAAACTAAGAGAAACAAGGAAAGATAAACCCTAAAGTGCATATAACCACACAAAGCAATTAATTTCCTTTTGACATGGAAGTTTTCCCTTCTTATTTCCTTATTTTGACTACTGTGTAATTGAAACCAAGTTAATAACAAAAAAAGGTGTTTTTAATTAATTCTACCTGTATATTATTTATTGTATTTGTCAGATTTTGGAACTGTGTTCTTGGGAAATCTTTTCTACATTATTCTATTTAGAATTTAACTTACATTTTTGGGGAATTAACTTGTATAACAATAACTTATCGATCTTCTGTACTTGTTTTATGAGAGTTTTTTTTTCAAAGAGTAGGACCCCATAATAGATGGATTTGCATTTCTTTTATGCTTATAATTCCTATGTGTCCTAATTTTTCTGTATTGTAAGGAATACAACAATAATGATTGTTACAATAGGTTGTATGCTATATGAATGTATACACCCATCAGCTGATTTTTGTTAATTAGTTTTTAGACTTTTGTTTATATGAATGAAATAGTCATTCTATGTTTTTATTTCGTAATTGTATGGGTATTAGGCACCCATACTAGGTTGTGTGTTACATCCAATCACAGAATTAAACAGAGTGTTCTGGATGTTTGTTTAATTATATACACCAACTTTTGGGGTCAAATGTAATTGTAACATTCTGTGATTATTAATCTTTTATGTTCAGTAAACAGTGGTAATACACTAGAAGGGGTAAACTTATTAAATTCTATATCATTTCCCTCTTCCGCCGTTTTAGAAAATCCATGCTATTGTTTCATTGTCATGTGACCAAACTGATATTACTTTATAATACAATAAATATAATTTGATATCTGTATATTATACAAAAAAGAACATAGCGGATAACAATTTTGAAATAGGATATTAATGAGTGTGGCTGTGGTTTCATCTACTGAGCTAGGCTAGTGGAAGTAAGATTAATTTTACTGCGGGTACAGTCAGTTATGTGGTAATAACATTTACCTAGCGAAAATATACTGTTTTTGCACTGCCTTTTATTTTGCAACTGTAATTAAATAACATTTGGCAGTGTCATTGGTGCTACAAAATATTTACAATGTCAGTGTTGAAAAATTCTTTGTGTGTGGTTCTAAAGCGCTATTCAGACTATCAAATTAGTGACAAAAACATGTGACGTGCCTGAATATGGTCACGATGACATCAAATCATGACTATATATGGGCACGTCGCAATTATGTTTGGGCGTACACAATTTTTTGTCAGAGAAAATGTTGATAGCGTGGACAGAGTTTTATTATTTGAAACAAGTGGTTAGAAAAGTTTTGCCTTTTTTAAGGTATTAAGCTGTTCCGTTGTCGTATGCCATCATGCTCAAACATGGAGGAGGTATGACATCATCTCATGCCCATATATCATAGATATTTGTAACAGAGCTTCACTAACCAATGTATTATTATTTGCAAAAAGATTTTTTTTTTTTTTTTTTTTTCAGAAAAAAGACATTATCATTATACATATAATATATACTGTAATATATTTTTTTTCAGAAAAAAGACATTATCATTATACATATAATATATACTGTAATATATATATAAATATATATTTCTATGTGGGTACTCAATGATTCTGAGGTTGTATCGCAATACATGAATAAAATCATTTAGCAATTTTTCATAGGTGTGGGTATGCCATGATTCTCAGGGCATAAGTGGCCGATCAAAGAATTTGAAATAAAGGGGCCAGGGAGGGACTTTCACAGATAAATTGTAAACCACCTGATTATGGCACCTCAAGATGGGCATTCTCCGACTTAAAATTTGAATATAATTTTACTTTTTTTCTCCATTTTTAAAAATATTTTGAACAATTTAGAATTTGAATCCCCCCATAGTGGATTGTTCATATAGATGTTCATGCCCTTTGATTTATAAGGAAGACATCTATAACTAGTACTGTATTATTGCCATATACTTGATGAAAAAAAAAATTGCTTAGCAATTTGTCATAGTTGTGGCCACCCCGTGATTTTCGAGGTGACGTTAATCAAATCATATATGGTGAATTTTTTTTTAGTATTAGTTTTGGCTTGATGAACGACTTTAAATTGGTGGTGGATGTACGGTTTAAATGTGTCAATTCTGTGGATAGATTGTGCCTTTTAGCACCCCTTCGAGCTTGTACATTTATGAGGTCCTGCTGAAATAAAACAATAGTATTACATTGGAAGTATTGTTTGTGTTTTTGTGTTTTCAATCATGTGAAGTCCAAAAAAAGAGCTGTGTGGCAACAACATCTGCTGATTGTCGGTGGCAGTGTGTTATCATTAGTAATGATACTATGTAACGATACTATATTTGCGCCTTGTCGTGAGTTTTCTACACCTCTTGTCATATTTGCGTTGCAATACGTGCCTGGTTTCATAGTACATCACTGCTGTACCTTATTGCAGATCTAGAATCTGGACAACCAACAAGTCTGTCAAGATTAAATACTTACATGAAATTTTACATCTTCCAATAATTAAACATTAAAATGTTGCACACAAAAAGACAAAGTACAGTCAGGGGTTGCGCCAGAATTTGCCCGGGGTGACCCTAAGAGGGGGGGGGGGAGAAGTTTAAGTGTCCCCGACGAAACGTAAGTGGGCGTGGTCGGGCGTCGCTCAAAATCTTGGAAGCGGTCCAGGGCCCTGTAAACTATAACAATTTAGGGGTGTCAAAGGCTCGTGATTTTAGTGTCTACTCATGTTTAAAAAAAAAAAACTATAAAAATAATAAGGCTATAAAAAAATAAAAAAAACAAAAAAAAAAAACGCTGTAACAACAATAGTGTACGTGATTATAAGTAATATGTTTCTGCAGTGCACAAGAAATGTGCCACTATTCAAATAGTTACGATGATTGTCATCATAATAGATTCCTTGTGACCAACTATCTACTCCCCCTCCTACCTTGAATATTTCTAATGACAATTTTACTCTAACAACGCTCTCTATCTCCAAACCTACAATCAGGTGACGTACATCCTGGTTGTGTTCCATACTCCTTTCAAATTACTGTAAACACACTCGCTAATAGTGCTAGTGTCTCTTTACTTCCTGATGATGCTAATAATGATAATAATAAATGTCAAGTATGAAATTATGACGATTCTTGATAAGATATTAATATTATTACAACGCACGAAGTTAATATTTTTTCCGAATTAACACAATTATAAAAAAAATAATGTAGTGGATATTTATAAACAGCATAATGAATCAAGTAACTCCTTTCTATAATCTAATATGTAAAATTTTTATTAGTAAATTATGTATTTATTTCAACAATATTTTTTGAGTCAGATAAATTTTTATTTAAATAAGTCAGATACATTCAATAGACTGAGAGTAATACGTGAATTCCAAATTGCTGCAAATGAATGCATAAATTCCCCAGTGTTATAATAAAAAACTTCTCTATAAATTATTATGAATTCAGTTATCCTCAACAAAGGCTTTGACTAGGATAAAGCGGCCTTTGGGTAGAAGATCTGCCTCTTTGTCAGACAGGCAGAGTTTGACAGTCCCAGATGAAGGCAAGTTGTCCACTGCAACATCCTACAATAAATCAAATATGTTGAATTTATCAAGCTTTTGCTTCATACTAAAAAAAAATAAAATAAACTGATATATATTGGGTAGATATTAATTATATAGGCATTTCGCATGGGTTAACATTAGAGACTCTTGGCGTCCTGTTGCAAATTGCCAGCTTAAAAGGAGTGTTCACTGAACCAAAATAAACATGATTTGAAACAAAATTAACAATATCAGCATTTAAAATAGAAATTCGAAATATTACGAAAACGTTAACGAATGTTGTTACGTCATTAAATACGGTATGTTTTTTAAGTTGGACCCCGTTTATCTGACGGCTTAGGCCTATCCGTTTTACAAATCTCATTCTAAGTAGAAAGATGGATATCATTTTAAAGCACATTTTATCAGAATTTAAACTATCTCATGCCAAACATTCAGGGCCTCGAGGCAAGATCGTCTGGAATATGCGTATTTGTTATCGCGTACAAAACAGGAATGATTAACGAAAGTAAAATGTGACGAATTGAATAAATCATTCGTTATCATTTCGTTGTGAATGCTAGGCCTAGGACTATCTTAATTTTGCAAAAACACCAACCTCGTTAGAGGTATGCCTGTTGAAGTTGATTGGTACGACCGGTGATTCATAAATAGTTTCTTGGCATTCAGAGTCCATTACCTGTCGATATGGAAAGTCATTTTTGGTTTATAAAGACTGATTATTTTTATTCTTCAGGCAAATTTATTTATTTAGTATAAAGACTGATTAATTTTAATGTATATATACCGTATTCCTTTATTCTTTGGCAAATTAATTATACGTTGTAATTTACTTACGTATTTAACTTGGGAGGCATTGAACAATGATGAAAACATTGGTGGTTTGGGTTTTTCTTCATCGCAAACAACATCGTCATCATTCATTATTCCAACCTGTTTTATGCATTTATAACAGATAACATGATTTGGGTAACCAAAATTGATATATAGGTAATCGTAATTTGATGTAGACTTGTATAGTAATGATTTTAGTTAATTTTAGTTACTGATTTAATTAACTAAACTTAATTTAGTTAATTTGTTAAGACCTTTTTGAATGGATTATATAATTTTAACAGTGTATTTAATAAATTTGTTGCGACATTTCTTTTGTATGTGCTGTATTATTATATTTTATTGAATCTCTGTTTTATTGTAAATTTGAATGTTTTTCTCCTGAAGGTGTATTGGGGTGAGTAAACTTGATTGATTTATTTGTTGATTGATTGATATACTAGGTCTCTATCCGCTTTCAGGAAATGTCCAAAAGTAGTTGAATAAAAAATTAAACAAATAAGAAGAAGAGACAAAGAAAAATGAACAACGGAAAACACCAACAAAAAAGGAAAACAATTAGAATGTTGAACTAAATAAGATTAATTCATTACCATGTTTACTTTCAGATGGAATGGAAAGTATTGGTTGTTGGCATCAGGTCGGGTCAATAGAAGAAATACCACATGTCCATAAAACATTACAGTCATCTCAAATCCATTAACGATTTTAGCTCTTTAGAAGCAAAATACGAACATTTAAATATTATTTATCAGAATTAGAAAGTATTTATTGTCATCAACAAATAACAACAAAAACCTGTTTGTATAGATGTATTGCATACAAAATAAATTAGCATACTAAATGCATACGGTAACATAATATACAATAAGTAATTTTAAAAGCAGGCCTATTCTAAACAATTTCTTAAAGCAACCATAACACTGCACTTAGAATTATATATTATTACATTCTTCAAGCGGTAAAACTATTTCAAATTCATGTTCATATGAAAAGATTTGAAAAGTAAAAAAAAATCAGGGCTCACCGTTCCCATTTTGCAAGGAAATTATTGGACATCCAGATGATGATGGGACTAGCCAGAAACCAGAGTGTAAAGATACTGATGAAAGGAATGTAGAACACAGCCTTCCCGCGGTAATGTTTGATGGTGAAGAAACAAGCGTAGTACATCCACGCCAGTCCTGAAATAACATGATGAGAATTAGTGTTATTTACCCGCCAATTGTTTTTCCGTTGTTCCCAATAGTCGAATATAATAATACTCACTCAAAATGTTAGTTCTTAATGGCAACATTTAGGAAGCCCGACAAAATAAATGAGTACACTTTAGTTTAATCATGGAGGAATTAGTTTATGGTTTAATAACATCTAATTGGCTAGTAATGAATTTAAGAACTTGCGTTAGTCGTAAGAATTTGGTAAATTAGCGGGAAAAAAATGCTTCGATATGTGTCTCATTGGGAGAGAATATACTTCTTAATATAATATAAACTTAGACGTACCGATAAAATGCAAGACGATAATTCCAAGTCCGGCAAACGAATCATATTTGTTAACAACATCACGCGGGTCATAGATCAGTTCTTGCATGGCGTAAAGTCCAAAATAAGCAAAGAAGTAAAAACAAGTAAAGACCGCAATTTTAAGACTGGTGACAGGTCTCAAGCGAGCGCTGTAAAATAAGAAGAAATTTTGAATAATAAGATTTAGTTGAATCCCACATGTTGTAATTAGCAATAATTTTATTTTTTAATTGGCAAACACATGTGCATTATTCCTTTCATTGCGATGAGCAGTTCAATTTTGTTGAATTATAAAGGATTTACCACAAGATATCTATAGCCAAAGGTAAAATAGTTGTGGTATCCCGAGTGATTATTCGTAAAGACTTTAGTACAACTGTGGTAAAGGCAGGTTTTTCACGCACCGAGTGACGGTGTATCCTTTAGCAATCAAGATAAGCAACAGAACAAATAGGAGAGTCGATGTAGATGAAACCATTTCGCCTGGAGAAGGGAATAAAGGCACGATGTAGTTAGTATTCGATCAGTTAGTACCATAATAATTTCATGATGTTTTCTGCATGTTTACCTTCAGAAAATTTGTGAAAAACATAATTTTACACATTAGATTGTCGGCGTTATAGTAACACTGATGTTGACCCAACTTACCAAATCTTCGTAGGGGTTCAATTCCAACACCATTATTGGCAAACTTTCCTAGAGCAATTGTCTGGAAAAGAAGGCTGATTGTCTGCAGGTAGCAGGAGTAGCAAAATAGTCGGTAAGTGCTGTTTAACATTTGGCGCTGGAGCATCACCTCTATAAAAACAAATAAAACATTTTATGAAATGTCTTTCGACATACTTAACAGTTGTTTCCCCTTCGCGTGTTTCCTGGATAAGTTGCAAGAACCCATTTAAAGTAAAATTTCCTCCACCAGTCAGCACGGCTAAACTAAAAAAAAAAAATTCAATGTATTATACCAAAAACAATTGATTGCGGGTTGTGCTTTTCAAGGTCAAAAATAGCATTTAAACTTACTTCTGCACTTTAGAAGGCACCCGCTGATGGCCAAGTAAAATCCAATAAATGCTATGTCAGTTTGAAGGATATCTGTTGACAGTAAGCATCAAACCATAAATACAGTCGGTCTATACCTTTATACCCCATTCAAACCAATAATCACACGGAAGATTTATAACATAGCTTTACTTACATCGTTCGTCAGCTGAGAAGTGGCGGTCAAATGCTGTCTTGCCATTATACAAATCGATGTTGTACTTGAAGCTGTTAATTCCATCTCCACCGCAATGTGCGATGGCAATGTACCACCAACGTTCCTTGGTGACGTCAAAGTGACGTTTACCGTGACAGTAAAATTCCTGAAATTGAATTAACCATAATTATTAAGTAATTTAAACACTTATAACTTGCTGCTTTAATGCGTGACGACGACGATAATGGTGACAATGATGATGTTGGTGATGATGATGATGATGATGATGATGATGGTGATGAAAATAACAAAAACGAATAATAATTTGATTTTGTAACATATTGACCCACTCTTTGAAGATGTGATGTATAAAAATAGCACAGAATATAACAATGTAACGTATTAAGAACTATAATGGAAACACAAGGCCATTATTAATGGCTCAATGAAACAAAAACAAATTTATTCCTACCCCTTGTCCAGTGTTATAATTGATCCGTATCTCACAATAGACCTTTCCGGAGTGTCAATCAAACTTAACAACTGACTAATCAGAACAACGCTAGGGATACGCGCGCGTCTTACAAACACACGTGTTGTCCCACAAACGCACGTGTTCGCGTATGTTTTAACACTGTCGTCTTGTGGGACCTTAGCAACAATATCCAATGGGCGGGGCTTAGCGGAAAGGTCCATTCTGAGAGGTACTGAGGGTCACTTTGCCATTGTAGTAACTAGGAATCAACTCTTTCCTGTCAAAGCAATCCTAACAAAAACAAAAAAAACAAAAACAATGCTAATAATAATAATAATTAAACATAATCTAGAATTCCAACCATGATTACAAAATTGTTTATAATTTTAATAGTAATTACCAGTTGGTCCTCATGTTCTCTGATGTATGGCCATTGTTTCGGTTCATCATTGAATATGAGCATTTGGTAGCAACATTCGGTCTACGATAATAACATCAAACAAATATATATATATTTATTATAATTTTATTCTAAATTCAAACAAATATAATTTATAAAATAATTAGTTGTTCGGGTAAATTTGAATAAAGAATTGAACATAAAGTTAATACGAATATGCATAAACAAAGTTTAAATTAAAAGGTAGGCATATAAATTGAAATCCCAAGTTACTTACCGTTGGATATGTGAAAGTGTAGTCCATTTCGCCATATTCGTTAGGTTGGAAGACAAAACGTGTCAGAAACACGAAGTTCTACAAACAATAAAATAATTATTGATTTGACTATAAATAGTAGACCATATAATACATGCTAACTAGGGCCTACTGTGTATCACTGAACCATTCATAAAACGTTCACGAACACCGCTAGGCTAGGGCCTAGACGTTTCTTGTTGCTTTAATATGTGTTTATTATCATGCCTATGTCAATTTATCATGCCTATGTCAATTAAACATAAGTCCTCAAAATTCTAAGAAACCCATTCGTGTTTTGGTGATACTACTACCATCATGTGGCTTAACACCAATTGTATTGTATTGTATGATATACAAATTACATAGGTTATAAATACCTGTCCAGAATTAATAACGCCATCCAGATGTTTGGCGTTTGTTGACGGTAAATTAAGAGCAAGCAATGCAAACACAAGTGGTAAAACATTCATTTTCATGATTTTTTTCACTGGTGTTCACAGAAAAAGCAGTTCGATTGAGCAGTAGATATAAATATCAGTTGTAAAACTTATTCAGCAATAAAACAAGTTTCTGAGAAAACAACTAAAAAATGAGGGTATATATACCTTTCCGTGTTCGAATCGAATGCTTTTGTTCCATTGCTGCTAGGCAAGAACAATGAAACTTATGACGTGTTTTGGCACGCGCGTGAACATCTGCGCAAGCATTGTTCATTCTCATCCTCTTCTGCGCACGTCGGAACATGCAACAGTTTCCGATCCTGTCTCGCATATTTACTATACGACCGTGACAAATTAAAAGTGTAAATTCCATTAAAAATAATCAAGATGAATTCCATGTACTCATATAAAAATGTTCAGTAATGCTATTAATTTTGATTCTTAGGTTAAGTTGTTAAAATATTAATTTTCGTAGAGGTAGATCATTTTGCAAAATCAAAACTTTAGTGTCCACAAATTCAATAGTTCACGCTGGTTCACGCGTTTCCTTAACTAGCGAATCAGAAACAATACGCCGATGCGGACTGACGCGTAACCACAGTAACACCAGTGTCTAGTATCCTTGGTAACACACGCGATAAAATGGAGAACGAATCAATTTATCAAGAATAATAATAATAATAATAATAATAATAATAATAATAATAATAATAATAATAATAATAATAATAATAATAATAATAATATGGTACGAAAACAAAAATAATGGTCGCAAAAATACAGAAATCTGAATTCCATCGCCTGGAAAATCTTGTTTTGCTCGGAAATGTACTCTCTTTCTAAAGAAGGCTAATAAATTTTCCAAATGTCAGTCAGATCTTTCTCCTACGTTAACATTAATTTTGTTTGTATACAATATTAATTACATAGAGAAATGAATACAAAGCTATCACCTGCTGTAAAATTAATACGGTATTTGACCTCCGTCCACTAAATACTTAGGCCTAATACGAAATATCGAACACCCTGAGTTTCTAAGGTATTCAGTCATGGTTTGATTTTTGCAATCATTGATTAGAAAAAATATCGAAACCATAATCTGACAATCAAAAGTGCAGATTCTCACGCATCCGCGATCCCATGCAATAATAAGCAGTCTATCATTCAAATAATTTGCATCCACTGGACACAATGTTGTCACTTCTCAAAGCATCTTTATAACAATAATTCTGATTGAGAAATATGATTAGGCGGTTAAAATTTTGAGATAGGCCTGGATGTTGAGGCAACAACAATCAACATATAGGCCTATAACACGGCATTAGTAATCAATTCTTGTATCATAAGTGAAAAATAATAATGAGAAAAATAGTTGGTACTTATTATGTTGGTTTTTTTTTTTAATGGCCGACGGCGCAGAAATGATCACCATTAAATAAAGAAAAACATAATTTACTGTATAGGTAAAATTAGAATCAGAAACTTTAATGCAAATCTTCAAATATAGGCACTCGAATTATAAAATTATTGAAACTAAAATGTAACTTGTATTTAAAAAAAAAAATACTTGTATCATGTCTTCAGGAGAACGAGAAATATCTTTTCGACCATGTAATTTCCGATGAAAAGGAAGAAAAGTTTATCTCCTGTGCGTATCTGTATCTGTATAATAATTCATCATACTGTAATAGTAATAATGAGAATATAATGATAATGTAATAACAACAACAATAATAACAATTAATAACGATAACAATAACAAACAACAGCAATAATAATAATAATTGATAATGATAACGATAATGCTAATAATAGCCCTACTAATAGTTATTTTTAAGGATAAAAATAACATGATTATCATTTTATTATTACTATTATTATTATTATTATTATTATTGTTATTATTATTCTTCTTCTTCTTATTAATAATGGGTAATAGGTATGGCTCCTAAATACTCATCTTTTATTTATTTATTCAACTGAACATACACTTTTGTTTCAGTAGCACACATTTCGGTGCGTTCAATGAGAAAGAAAAAACAACTAAACTAAAAGAAACTAAAAGTTATACAAAACAATTATACAATAACAGTATTCAGTACTGTATTGTTGTTCAAAATCCACTAAATAAAAAACAACATTACTGTAGTAATACTGTAATACTATTTTTAGAGTTAACAAATTATTACGTTATTAAGATACAGATAAGCACATAAAAAAATCAAAACACAACGACACAAAAGATTACTTATGAGGTAGAGGTATGCAATAATACTGACCTTTCTTTCCACAGGTTTTTAGACAATGATTTGCTAAATTTATCAATTTCCACAATAATTATCATACATGTTTACTGTTGTTCTGTATTTGAAATAGCGCCCCCAGCACTGCATTACTGATTCACGGCATCCATCCATTAAGTAACACCGAAGCAAAGACAGTCTTTCAAGTATTGTCAGCAGCGCGGTAGGCTTAGTAAACCCATCATTGTATAGCCTGAAAAATGCTGGAGATCTTACAGAAGCTTGTGTATCTGTTTCACTGGTGAAATGCGAAAATGGTTTTCAAGGGCTGGGACCAAGACCACATATAATGTAAGTCATAGACTTAACAATAACATACGTAAAAGTCGTAGGTTAATTTGGGTCCACGTTGAGTCAATATGCACGTATCATCTTGAAACATAAGTATAAACTTAGCGTCTTTCTGGACGCCACATATTATGTGTTTTGTTTTGATGAAGTTAGATTCTGGAGGAGGCACTTCATTTTAAAAGGAATTTTAATAAGCTTTCTGAATGCCCCTAATACAAGGACTTAACAACAGAGAGAGAGAGAGAGAGCAGCATAGCTCAATCTGTTATTAACCTCCCTGGTACTGTGTGCACTGAACCGTTGAGATCATGTCAGGACTTTTGTCCCTAGTGATCCCGGTTCAAATCCATCATTTGCAGTGCTGTTTAGAGACGTAGCTGTTGGCTCTATGTCCTGTGTGAACACATATACTAGCTCTCTTCGGACTAGCATCGCATGCGATCAGTTGTAGCAATTTTGACATCCAATAGCTTACAATCGCAATTCACAATTGTGTGTGAAAGCAGTGGCAGCGCCAGAAATTTGTCAACAGAGGGTCCGAAATATCAAACAGAGGGGTCTGAACCAAAGGCCGGACTAGAGCCTCGGTCGACAGACTGGAATAAAAAATCCCTTGTAGTTTCAAGGGGAGAGTTTTTATGGTTTAGTATGGTCAAAAATTTGCTTTTATAGACCAGAATATTAGGAATTGGCAACTAAAATAATGTTATTTGGATAGGCCATTTGACTCCGTTAATGGTGGACCGTATCCAATCCAGATCGGCATATTATTAGTAGGCCTACCGTTCGACCTCTTGTTCCAAATTAGGGTAAAACAGTTTTTTTTTTTAATCGATTTATATTTTCCTTGAAAATAGCACAATAATAGTATTTTACATTTCATATAGTTTAGAGTTCATTGAAATTTTTTTCTTCAGAGAAAGAATGGCATCTCACGGCCCACATCTAAAGGAGAATACCAATGAGGATGATGCAGCTGACATCCCACCAGAAGACTACCACTTTGTTGAGCATTCTCATTCGACCCACGTCCTAACCGGATTTAGCGAGCTTCGTCAATCAGGATTAATGTGTGATGTTATACTTTGTGTGGATGGGCAAGACTTTCCGTGCCACAGAGCTTTGTTAGCATCCTTTAGTACCTATTTCCGTGCAATGTTTTCTGGCGAGCTGGCTGAGAGTCGTCAAGAGCGCGTTTCCCTGAACGGTGTTGAATCGAGTATAGTGAGTCTTCTAGTGGACTTTGCATACACCTCGGAAATCATGATCACAAAGTCGAATGTGCAATCTCTACTCTCGGCTGCTAATCTTCTTGGTGTGCTCGCTGTGCGCGATGCCTGTTGTCGGTTTATGCAACGCCACATGGATGCAACAAATTGCCTTGGGATCCACTGTTTCGCAGAGGCTCATGCTTGTACTCCGCTGCAGGAACTTTCAAAAACGTTTGTTCTAAAACACTTCAAGCACGTCTCGAACACAGAAGATTTCTTTAACCTTCCTTGTTCAAAGGTTATCGAGTTCATCTCTGATGACTATCTCTGCATTGATCAGGAGGAAGAGGTCTTTGAGGCAGTGATGCGCTGGTTTGATATGGATTCTGAGAGTCGACAAAGTGACATCGAGAAAGCATTTGAACACATACGACTGCCTCTCATGAGTGTGTATTTTCTACATGACTGTGTTGAGAGCCGAAACGTTATTATGCACTCGCAAAGATGTCGACAGTTAGTGGAGGAGGCTAAGAACTATCATTTATTGCAGGATCGTAGAGCAGAGCTTTACAGCCCACGCACTAGACCTCGCAGATCTACAGGTTAGTGAATGGCATACAGTAGTAGTCAAGGCTAATACTGTATATAATATATAAATTCTTTTTCACAGCCCTTGTAGGACCCTTCTGAAATTAGATATGGTATATAAATATATTTTATAAAACATATTTTAACTGGCAAATTTTGGCTCCCATATTGTATTATATAATTTTATTTTTTTTATTTTTAAGGAACCTGTGAGGTCATAATAGCAGTCGGTGGAGAAGATGATAAAGTGGTGTTAAGAAGTGTGGAGACATTTGACCCACATACCAACCAATGGCGGACGTTGGCCTGCTTGCCTTTTGCAGTCAGCAAGCATGGCCTGGTTGTGTCAGGTAATAATATTATGATGTCAAATATAATACTGAATTAAATTTATTTTCATAATATTAAAGATCTTGTTTAACTTTGGTGTTTTATACTTTCGTATTGTATGTGCTGAGGGTCCAAATTGATCAGGTCTGGCTGGATGCACCGCCCCCATAAAATATTATTAAAATAAATAAAGTAAATAACTATAAATAGCTAACATGGAATAATTTCTAATCTTATATCTATCAATATGAAGGAAAAAATTGAATGAATATTTGAATACATTGATATCTTTAAGAATATTTGTGACCTGATTCAGAGAAATTTATAATAATTTCATTAAAGATGTGGTAAGTAAACACATTAATAAGGGAAAGATTGCAGAATTTGGGAGCTTGTTTATAAGATATTTATTGTTGATCCCATTGAGACAAAACATCCAAAATATAAGAATTTAAACCTTTCACAGTGCTGAAAAGAGAAACAAAATCTTTAATCTTTGTGATGATGTACAATGAATCAAAAGTAGTTATTGTCCATACATGAATTGATTTATGTGTGAAATATGTGAGGAAATGTTGCATTTCCTTGTTGTGAATCACAAGTACTAGTTGAATTGATTATAACAAAAGTAATGTGCATGTTTTTCAGGAAGCAGTATTCTGTACTTAGCTGGCGGGGAATTTCCAGACGGATCAGCAAGCAAGGATGTTTGGCGATACGACCCGTCTTGTGACAATTGGGCACAAGTTTCCCCCATGAACTATCCGCGGTCTGAACTAGGTGTGTATACTTTCAACAACAAAATACAGCTATATAGTCCCTTATTATCAGCCTGCACATTTCAAACATACATATGGTTATTTTTCATTCAAATATTACCTGTATTCTATGTTTATGAATTTTATCTATTTATTTTCATTTCATTCAACAACGTAAATGGCAATGCCAGGGAGCATAAATTTGACTTGTACGAGCTTCCTTCATTTTGGCCCTGAAACCTTGACTCAGAAATACAGGGATGGTGTCCGGCGAGGCATAGTTTTGAATCTAGAGTTTTTTTCTCCTGTTAAGAATTAATTATCTCATCATTTATAAGGGTTACATGCTAAAAGCTTTGCTTCCAATATAATGTCTTACATCTCATTTTCATACATTGTTATAGGCTTATACTTGCATTAATTTTTTCTAATGTAATTACACATGTAAATATGAAAAAAAAAATTTTTTTTAAAAAGTAAATCGAAATTGAAATAAATACGATACAATATAAAATCACTATAAAAACATTCAAATATATTGAAACAGTACAATAAACATTCATGATTAAAACAATTTGATATATTATTATGATTATAGCAAGAATATTATAATTCCAACTCGTACTTAATTGTGCTTATTGTTCATAATACTATTCAATGTTGGTTAATAGTTAAAAGTATTACTTATTAAGAATATTTTGGTTTGTATGTTAATTTATTTTCATTATTTTTGTACTACCTGAATTAATTAGAAAAAAAAAATCCCTGATATTATGACTGAATAAACAAATTAATTTGCCATTTTCTTGTTGGTAGGTGTGGCTGCAGTCGATGGTTACATCTATGCTGTTGGGGGATGGGAAGGGTCAGCTAGGCTGGATTCCGTCGAGCGGTACAGCCCATCAACAAACACTTGGACGTTTGTGTCTCCGATGAAGATGGCACTTACAAGCCCCGCAGTGGTATCCCATGAAGGCAAACTCTTTGTTATGGGTAAGTTTAGTGTGGAGAGAGCAGCTTAGCTCAGTCGACTAATCTGGTGGTAGCCACTGTGTGTGCGCTGAGCCGTGGAGATCTCTAGTTCCCTGTTCAAATTCCCATCGCTGCCTCCTTGTGTTTCAGCTAGAGGGCTGAAATACAAGTTACAATAGCGCACCGTCTTTCGGATTAGACGTTTAAGCCATTGGTCCCATGTGCATTATGGCCCATGTGCATGTTAAAGAATGCAGTACACTCTTCAGAAAACAGTAGGGTATTGTCTCCTAGTGTTCTGCCCAATCACCACCAGAAGGACCCCACTGGAAATAAGTCTTCTTTTAGACTTTCGTGGGGCTACCCTTGGAGTTTACACCAAATAAATCCAATCCAATCCAAAGAATGAATGATTATGTTAAGGAAGTGGCTATTGTTACACTCGTCTTAACCCAATTCTTAATTCTGATTGGATATTATTGTATGTGTGGGTTGGATTAGGGCTATAACATCCAATCAGAATTAAGAATTAGTTTAAGACTGGTGTAACAATAGCTACTACTAAATTTTGTGGAAACATTCAACAATATTCTAGTATGCTGGTAGCAGGCACAACATTATGTGTCAAAATATTTGAAATTCATCAGATTTAATTAAGTCATTTCATTTCAATAGTTAATTATTATTATTGATTTTAACCACTTCAAGCAAGGAATATTTGGCCTCTAGTCATTGATTTTCAAAAATGCAGTTCTCAAATTATGGTGAGAGTAACATGCATATACTTGTGAAAGCAGTGATCCAGGAATTCAAAGTACAGGGGGCCCAGGGAGGTACTATCACAGATGTCTTGTCCACCTCAGCCCCCCCACTACAAATTTTAGGATTGTGGCTCATGTAGATGGCCGGAAATGGTACTACTAGACTACAATTTTCTTCTTGTAGTTCCATTTTAAAAATAGTTTAATGTTGGTAGCGTTAATGAACCGATAATACTGAACTAAGCAACCCTTTTTAATCAACATAATTATATTAGAAACAAGAAAATCCAAAGCAAACATAAATTTCAAAAAAGTAACTAAACACCAAAACAGACCATGCTCATATCAACTTGCTTATTAATTGTAGATTCATCTCTATCTAAAAGAATGTGTCAAAACTTGAGATTTTGAAATGCTACTGGACTTTTGATATTCCAGTAAAAACTACTGCATAGTCAAACCTCAAAGTAGTGCATTTGGATCTCTCTTTTGACATTTCTGGTTAGGTGAAAAGTATAGTTAATAAAAAAATAATAATAGTACAGTAATGGTATTAGTGTCATTTTTAGGAAGTGCATACAGCAAAAATACTGTAAATGGTCGAATAAGCGCTGCGGCGGTTATAACATTTTTGGAGACCTCAGTGCTGCGCTTATTTGAGAGCAGTGCTTATAAAAAATATATTGGCATGGTTCTTTCCATGCCCATTCCCATGTTATCTTGCACATTTTCCATACGGTAGGCCTATCATAGGTCCTACGTCATCGTAAATAAACCTTTATAAAAAATGCTTATGTCTTGATTGTGTTATTTATTCATTAATGTCGAAATATTGAATCCCAACACGATGGCGTGTATTTCAATACTTGGAGTATGTATTATACTTTCTTATCTGAGATTAATCAGTGGACCTTTCGGTTATTTATTCATTTTAACATTAAAACACTGTTTTTTACACACAGTGCAATATACACTCTCGATTAAGTGGCACGGCGCTTATAAATTCGAGAGTGGTGCTTATTCGTGCATTTACGGTATGCTTCCTTAATAACTACGGAAACAGAAACAATAATTATCACAAATCAGCACAAAAGTATTACAATGTATGAGAACTATAATCTGAAATTGTAGGTGCAGTACAGTATATTTATATTAGCAAAATGTATTTGCCTTCATCTATAGGTGGCGCTGTTCTAGAGGATGGGGATGGTATTGACCTTGTCCAGTGCTATGATACCAGGACTGACCAGTGGACAGAGTTACAGCCAATGACCATTGCTAGATCTGGCTCGGCAGCTGTCGTCCTCAACGGATACATATATGTCATAGGTTAATTTTTTTCGTTATTTTATCCATATTAGGCGAAGCCTGGTATTGCGACAGTTGGTGACTTCTATAAATTTTTTTGACAAAAAAAATAACTGATGTATGTCCAAATACAGTCATGATGTGCCTATATATGGTCATGATGTGATGTCATCATGACCATATTTAGGCATATCACATGTTCTTATAGTTGTTCTTGTGCTTTGTTTAACAAACGTAAGAATTGACAGCATTTTTTTAAAATTAAATTCTCTATTTCAAGGTCAAATTCTTTCTCAAATATTTTTAATTGAATTTCCCCATTAATTCAGAATGTTACAATTTAATTTCCTGTATTTTCTAGTGTATGTTTACAAAAGTTATAATTGACTAAAATGTTTTCACAATATGTAATTTATTTGATTTTCTACGTTACAATTTAATTTCCTGTATTTTCTTAGTATAAAGCCAGGCCCTCGCTGTGTCATACAACGTTTGTAAAATGAATCACTCCACTCCCTGTAAGCGTTTGGTGATACCGTTTGCTGATTTTCAGTGGTAGTCCGAACAGATTATCATTAATTAGGTTTACAGAAATTAGAATTTTCTTTAAATGTTTTCACAATTTATAAATTAGTGCTTTTATTTCATGTACACTATCACTTATTAAGAATAAAACTACATGTGAGTGATGTATTACTGTAAAAAAATTGTAAAAAGTGTTCTATAATTATCAATTTATATTGTTATTTTATTATATTATTTTTATGATTATTTTGTTGGTGTGATCATTATAGTATCCATATCATTGAAATGTTTGTATATTTATAAACATTGATGATATTGACAGTTGATAGACTTTTGGTTTTACTTTTTATATCCAGGTGGATGGCACGCTTCGACAGAGAACACCAACAAAGTTGAGCGTTTCAACATAGCACGGAGTGAATGGGAGATCCGCGCGCCCATGAATGAACGTCGCTATCGCCCAGGCCTTGCAAGTATCGACGGAAAAATTTACGTGCTCGGCGGAGAGGAAGGCTGGGATCGCTATCACGATACCATCGAGAGCTACCAGGAGGAACAAGACTCTTGGGAAATTATTGGAGAGATGCCTACGAGCCGCAGCTGGCTTAGCTGCGTAGCCGTTCAGTTGAAGGAGGTACGCGATAAGGTCGAAGATTCTTGCCCCGAGCCTCCATAATTTATAAATCACAGGGTGTATGATTGGGTGCATTGTGTCAGGGTGTGGTGCACGGTGTTTTCAGCATTCAAAGGTGCAAATGCAAATATTTTCAAGATGGATAATTAATTGCATTTGTGCTAACACAGTAATTGTGAGAAAGTAAAGATAGTTACAAGTATTGCAGTACCATCTTCCCATAGATATTCACATAGATGTTACAATTGTACTTCTTGGTCCAGTCACATGATAAGATCAGATTTCATTCAAAAGCTTGCAGCCATCTAGAAGAAAAGATCATGCAGATGCTAAATTCAAGGTTCCTAGTATATCAACAAAAATATGTATAGTTACTTCATTTTCGTGCAACTGTATTTAGTCAGTTTTTTTAGGTTGGATGTTACTGAAGATTTTTGTTATAAAGCCATTATATTTTACCAAATTCTATTTCAGAATATTCCACTTACCTATCAGATCTTTCGTAGCACCAGTACCAAATGCGATTTTCCCGTTCTTTCTTACAATGTTTACATTCAGTTCTAGGCCTATTAATAGGTAGTTTTCGCCGCACGATGTTAACCTTAACTTAGTTAAGGTGTTAGTACCCAACATACAACACGATAGCTCCACCTCTTTTGTAAACAACTCGAAATATGCATGTGGAAACCCATAACTAATGTAGTCTTGAAAATTATGCTTGTTGCATTTGTAGTAGCACAGGTCTAGACAATGTACTAATTATGAACAATTATTTCACTTTCTATACATAGAAATGACCATTTAAAGTTTAAAAATGCATTTTATATTAAAGTGCCCTCGTAGCTTAAGCAAAAATAGGGAAAGTATATCTTTAACTATAGCACCCTCGTAGTTCATGCAAAAGGGGAAATCCCAGTACTGTGTAATGATCTATTAGATCCAATGTGTATAACTCCTAAACCTTGAGAAATTTGCATAAATATGCATACATATTTACACAGACATAGGTTTGATGAATTTATTTATACTTCTATATAGTTACCAAATATTTATCTAATTTATTGTAAGAGAGAAAAAGCAATTTTTAATGTTGTTATATTGATATTGATGAATATTTAACAAAAAAAATGTGGATCATAAATTGTAAACATTTTCACCACTAGTGAAAAAAAATTGTGCCTTTGTTGATATTATCTTTAAATGTTGTTATACTTAATAATTAATACTTTTGCATTAAATTCTTATGCATTCAGATACAGGGTGTAATATTTGTTGTATATGGCAAGATTACCTTTCTATATTATTGCCACTGTTATGTTGCATATGCCTACATTTAACAAGTTTATGAACAGCAATGCTATTACTATAAACACCTAAATATAATAATAATGGTTGACTTATAGAGCGCATATTATGGAGATCTATGCCAACAGTCAGCCACAAACATAATATTTAATATAATAGTATACAAATATTGGAAATTGATTTATATATTTAAGAGCATTCATCAATTTCATAGGAATACTGATGGGCGACATTAAATAAAACTTCTACACTCTTGGCGATCCTGTGTCTTATGCATTTTTAAAATTTTATGCATTTATGTCATATTTATGTGTTATTAATACAGAGTAGGGAGGCAAGTTTCTAGTAATTTATAAACTATTTACTTTCTTAGGTATTTCAGTTTTATGCATTTATGTCAGTTTAATACAGAGTACAAGTTTTTACTAATTTATAAATTATTTACTTAGGTATTGGTGCAGCTGTTATGATCACTGATATTACTCACATTAAATGGAATAAAATAAACAACTTGAATTATGCAATGTTGGTATTAAGTAATTAAAAAAAAATTAACATAAAAAATGAGGGGTATGCCTTATTTTGAGTAAATTACCTCTAGCACTTAGATCAGGGACACAAACCAACTTCTCAGTACACTGCAGGTGATCCATGACTGGTGTATTAATGCAATGTGAAGTTCCTAGCTAGAGGCCTTGGTAACTTGTGCTTTGTAGACAAACATATGAAACTTTTTATTTATATCATAATTAACAGCAACCAATTGTTATATTAAACATATAAATATTTATTGGTATTACAAATTTTACATATTATTTATAAAATATTTATTGATACTACCTTACTTTTTTCATTAATTTAGTGGTTATTATTAATACGGTAGCATTTTAAAAAGATAATTGTGCCTAATAAGGTAATATATTGTGATAATCAGTGTTTTATTCTGTATTTGATTTTAAAATATTCATTTTTTTCAAATTTATTTTCATATATAGTGGATTTATGCTTGCTTTTTTATTATTCCTTTATACAGTCAAACTAACCTAACTTGAATAATTTCTAAGTCGATCTTATTTAATTTACATGCCAAATTGTTTTTTTCCATTAACAATGCAAGTCAAATTTTATCTAAGTCAAACAATTTTCAATGCCATTTTGGATTCTGTATACAGAATTACATTTTGAAAGATACTGTATGAATAAATTTTGGTGCAAGTTAATCAAATTATATTTGTATAGTTTTTTAATATGATAAAAGTGGAATATAATCACATGCATCAGAATTACAATGACTTCCAACAAAGACAGATAATAATACATATAGACCACGAACATATCAAATTCCATTACCATAGGATAGCTAACGAACGAAAGACAGTTTGTAAAATGACACTGCAACAGCCAGTTATCATAACCCACTCAATACTCGATGATTCCATGGTTTTATTGGCATTAAGAGGTAGGGACAGGTGGCATACCCTACACTGGTCCTGGGCCCAGGGCTGCTAGCCCAGCCTAGTAGACCCTTATACTGTTTTCATTCTGGATAGCTCCACCAATGAGTAAGTTAAATTTAGAGAGGACCCCGAAAAAATGGAGTATGGGAATACAAATTTAATTTGGTATGGCGCGCAATAAAGAGTGAGTAACCCAGAATAAGGGAGAACCTCATGCTGCTTTTCTAGGCTTACTCCAATTATTTTACTCTTGTGAACCCAGTCTACCTTTTACTTTGTAATAGTTTACGATTGCTTGGTTGTAGTGTGGTCTAAACAGTTGTTTAATACCCTGTGTTGCGAAGGGTATTCTGGAAAATGCTGTGGTATAAACCATAACCTTCTTGGATTTCTTGGAAAGAAGACAATTTTAATTCACAATATCAAAGCTCAAGGCAAAAACAAACTCATATTTTCTCAGTACTGAATCATGATGTATATAACCTTTATTTTTCATTCATAAATTGTTTATTTTGTTTTCATTTTGTACTTCTAATATTCTTTAATCAACATAATATCCCTTAAAAATATCTGGAAAGACACTTCTTTGTGTAGGTATTTTGAAAGTTTTGGGTACATTTTAAGGATTTGAATTTCCTAAATTTTGGAGGGAAATTGTATGACAAAATACTATGTTGTCTCAAACGAAAGTTAGACATTTTATTAATTAGCATGTTTTAATTATTGGTATTTTATTTTTATTATTTTTTTTATTTATTTATTTAGGCACACAATACATGTGCCAAGGATTGTCAATAGCGAAAATATCACTGTCCTACTTGTAGGTGACAATCCCTTACACAAGACAAACATACACACACGATGCTTTACACAAACTAAATCTCAATATGAGATTTAGGGAGTGGAATTGTTTTGGTCGTGAGAAAAAGTCCTGCAACTGGCAGGAATTGAACCCAGGACCCTGGGATTGGAAGGCAAGCATCTTAACCACCAAGCTATTCAACTCCACTATTATTATCTGTATCGGTAGGATTAAAAATATATTGGGTTACGTTGAATATAAGTACATAAAATATGCATTGATTTAAAAATATACTGTCTGTGAGGATACGAAAAACACCCCTAACATTAAATTTAAGCCCTGTGCAGACTAAATATGGTCATGACATCACATCATGACCAAATATGGTCATGACATCACATCATGACCATATATAGGCAAACACTTTTTGGGTCAGCACAAGGCTGACCCCAGAACCTCACTGTTGTTCTTGTAACCAGAACTTTAAAAACGTCCAGCGTCGCCAGTTTTGAACGGACGTGCAGAAAATTTTGTACACATAAACTAGAGGCTATTTCCAAAAAATATTCATGTCCCCTTTTTTTTGTTTAGTTTTACCCTAGGTTGCCCCTTACACCTACAAAACAAAACAAGGGTTTCAGCAAGGACTGTACATTACTGCCTACATTACCACTAATAGAACATGCCGCATGGATGGCGCGGTCGGTTAGCGCATGTTTCAATAGCGTCAACAAAAAGACTGGTGCATACACGAAGCGTTAATCGCTGAATAGAGGTCACTTTGGTATAACGTGCTGACTAGTGAGTGGTCACTCTAGTTTTTCGAAGAAAATTTGCTATCTGGACAGAGCTAAACATTAAATCTTTAAAAGGGAGCAATTCAGCTGTAGCTCAGTGGATAAGATACTCGCCTTCCAAACGGTGGTGGCTTCAGAAATTAGTCAGGGGGACGACTACAGCATCGGTCAGGGTAAAAATCCCTAGCAGGGTTCATGGGGAAAGTTTTGATTGGCTTAGTATGACACAAAATTGTGCTTTTAGGAGCACAATATTTGGGATTGGCAATCAAAATAACATTATTTTAACAGGCAGATTCATATTTTCGGTCTGAAGACCTTGTCCAGGCCTGTCTGACAGGGGGTAGGGGGATCAATTAATCTTCACTGTTTCAAAATCCCTGGGTCCTTGGTTTTGGTTTTCTCACAACTAAATAATAACTCCACTCCATGAAAATCCCACAAAGAGACTTAGCTTATAGAGCATGCTTCCATTCTGAAAGAACAAGTCACTCAGATGAGAATGTAGTTTGTAATCATAATTTTAAACTTTGAACTTTGAAATATAACATATGTGCGAAAAACAGAAACAAGTTTTTGCTGATTCACATAACAGTTTTGTTGGTAATCAGTTTATGCAAAAAAATTGTTTATGTGTCTGGTATCTTACTTATACTAATTTCCAATCAAAAGCTAGTAACTTAAAGTTATTAATATATTTAATTTTATTCTAGTTTAAATAAATTTGTTGAATAAAATTAAATAATTGAATTCGGCACCAAGACAGTATATTTCTAAATTGGGTGATCCATATTCATTGGTCTCCATGGATTCAATAATACATGAAATACAAAAAACTCTAATATATATATTTGATGGCTGGACAATAATTACGAACATAAAATTAAAACATCAAAAAACAAAATTATCAGTGATAATTTTCCTTACAATTTTAAGTGTTTAAATTTTTGCTTCATTAAACACTGTATAAACGTTAATCCTATATTTTCCCATTATAATTACTTTTGTTTGAATATTATTTACAAATTTACATGACATGGTTGTTAGGAATGCCATATCATTTTTAAAGTCACATTTTTTTTTCTAACACAAGAATTGAACATAATATTTAAACACAAATTGAACATAATAATACACTATTCTTTACACAATATGGTAACTATAATTAAAACAACTATTTTACGATTTAAAATTTAATACAGTTTGCTGAAATATTCAGCAACTGCCTATATTTGGTAATACATAATTGTCCAATATTATCATAGAAATATTTTGTGTATTGAAAATTTTATTGACAGAATGTTCAATACTTGTTAATGTGCTAGTCCCACATATGTATTACGACTGTGCCCACATAATTTTCATTCATGTTTTAAATTTAAACATCCAGAATTCTTTACCCTTATGACCATTTCGAAAGTACTGACTCTTGCTTCAAGTGCATAAAAGATGAAAATATAGAGACGGGTGAATATACAGTAGATTATATAAAAATTGTCAGAATTGAATAAAGATCTCTGAAAATACTGTTCCTATATTAGAGTGCTGTGTTTCTTATAGCAAGTAAACCAAGAGTTATTATAGACAAGGCAATGAGTATTTATGTATTTAAGCTTTTAAAAATGACCCTACGTTTGGCCCAATTCAAGACAAAGCAATAAGAATTTTTTAAATAATTTTGCCTTCAAAACGGCCGTAAACTTGCTCAAATGCGCCACCACTGCAGGACTGGGTGGAGCAGACTCATGTCACCATGGTATTGTACATATCTATTAAAAATACCATCACACATTTTAAAAACGAAATATTGTGCACCTAAAAGACAAAATTTGGATATTTGCGCTATAGAATTTAAAGTACAAGCATAAAGAATGTTTTCCACTAGGTGAATTTATTCACATGAATCAAAAGTATTGGTTCATGCGCTTTCACATTTCTATCAGAGTTTTTCGCTTCAGCGAAATCAGTAGTTCGAACTGTTTTTACTTTTTGCTACGCAAAAAAATGTGCAACCAATCACAGCTCAGGAAGCAAACCAACGCTTTTGGTTCGCGAGATTGAAGTTGCCAAGTGGAAAAACAGTCTTTAAGTTCACTCAGAATTAATATAAGGTAAAGCTTGATTTTTTAGGATTGGAAAGCATTCTAGATGTATCATTTTGACATTTGCTGCAACTATTTACCAATCAAAAGAATACAGTAATATCTAAAAATATATTTTGATTCCCTGAGATGTAATCTCTGGGCTGGTCATTATTTTGATGGGCAATCTCACTGCTACAGATAGTTAAATAATTATTTATTTACTTCATCTAATAATCTTAATATAAATTTTATCAATATATGGAGAAATGAGCAGACAGAAATTTCACCAAGGGATTGACAAAGAGATATGTTGGCAGCACAAGTTCCATTTTGAGGGATGTCGCAATGAAAACAATCTAGGATTAAGAAATCCTTGAGATTAAATACAGACTATCATCTTCAAGATCTGCATATCATATACTATTGGAGCTATGTATAAAATGGATTTTAAGTACTAATCTAAATGAGATCCATCCTCAGTCTCTAGCCTTTGCCATTTAATGCAACATTTCTTCAGCCTCTTATACACTTCCTCATAGCACAACAGTACTAAAGACTGTATACCTTCAGTAGTACAACAGTCCTAGAGTCATTAGACACATCGACCAGTACAACAGTTCTACAGTCTCTTGATATCACCACAGGTCCAACAGTCTTAAAATCTCTAAATCTCCAGTAGTGCAACAGTTCCAAAGTTTATTTATAGAAACCTCCATTGCAGCAATAGCCACAGAGTACTCCACACATCTCCACTAATGCAAGCAACTATCTTAGAGATGCTAGACACTTCAGTGCAATTTAAGGGCTGAGGCATACTGGGTGGTTCATGCGAGACTAGACATTGTAGGCAGCGGTTCCGCCAAAGATCTATATCATGGTATGAATAAAACCAGTCTTGTTAGATAGCAGTTTCACTAATCTTCAAGGGCTAGTCTTGTTAAGTAGGAAACAGATAATCTCTATGGGCCAATGCAAGTGTTTTCTGGTTGGACAACAGTTTAGTGGATCTACAAGAGCATAGTCTTGGGTAGCAATTAGTAGGCCTTAACATATTTGATGGCCTACAAAGACTAATATTGAAAAAGAGCAAATAGAGGGCCTCTAAGAGGAGAGACATGTGTAGTTTTGTTGGGTAGCAGTCTCCAAGGGCCTTAACATTACATGATGGTTCACAGTGATTAGTCTTAGTGGAGAGTATTTAGTGGATCTCCAAAAGCCAGTGCAAGAGCCAAGATAAAACTAGTGTTCTTGGGTAAAAGTTAGTGGATCTTCAAGGGTCTAATGTCTTTGATAGAGCACATGAGTAGCCTTGTTGGGGAGCATTTAGCGAATCTCCAAGAGCAGAGGAATGTTTAGTCTTGTTGGGATAGACCTCCAAGGGTAAGACAAATCTAGTCTTCTTGGGTAGCAGTGAGTTGCACAACTAGGGCCACATGACACCAGTATTTTTAGTAGCAGTCATTGGATCTCCAATGGCCAAGGTAAGTCTAGTCTTTGGGTAGCAGTCAGTTGATTGCCAAGGCCTTAAACGTCTTTGGTGATCCACATAACACCAGTCTTTTTGAGTAGCAGTTGTTGGATCTTCAGTAGCAGTTAGAGTATCTTCAAGGGCCTAACGTCTTGGATAGTCAAAGAAACCAGCTATAGTGAGTAGCAAATAGTTGATTTTTAAGGGGCTAAACTTTTATAATGGTCCATGTGAAACTATTCTTGTTGTGTAGCATTCAATGGATCATCAAATATACTTGGTGCATCTGAGTTGAAAATGGAGCTACCGCCGGATTTTCTACCAGTTTTCTTTTTTGATTTTGTCCTCTTGGGTTTTGAAGAGCTGGTATCAGCAAAAATATCATCTAATTAAATAAAAAATAAAGATGCTTCAGATAATGTAAAGTTATGAGTAAAAATTATAAGTCTTTAACATAATTTTTAAAATACTGTAAAACCTTGAATTGAAGCCCACTGGGGTTAATCTCGAGATGAAGCTCATCACGAATTGAAACTCCCTCTTTAGTTTGCAAAATTAGCCTCAAAAAGAGGCCCATGGGCTTCTTTTCAAGATAGCATAGGCTTGTTCTCGAGACAGTACAGTAATTACACTGTACATAAATTTCTGAAAACAAAATAAATTAAATACAAGCTTGGTTTATAAAGTAGTTTAGATGATTTAATGCCAGTTAAATACACTCCATGATACCGATTGATGTTACTTGGCCTTATTTATTGTTTTATAGTACAAATTCACAAAATTTACAGCATTCATTTTGAAAAGAAGCCCCCCTCTTTTCTTTGCAAAAATAGCCATGAAAAGAAGCCCATCTAAAAAAGCCCATCAAAAGTTCGCAAAAATTAAAAGGAGGCGCTGGCTTCAACTAGAAGTTTTACAGACTTATTTTATTAGCCGGAAGGCGATTTGGCTCAGTGGTTGTTGAACTTAGGGTCACGCTGTCCAATCTTGGCTGGACATCCTTAGATACAGTACTTCAACTTGCATTGTTCACAGGCTGTGAAGTGGCTCAGGCTATGTTTCAGCCTTTAGGTGCCAGTATTTCATTGCATATAAAAAATAGCACTTAGTAACCCTTTGCCTAGAAGTGGCTTTCAATCCTTGTTTGGGATTATAAACTTAACTTAATATAACTTAATCTTATAAACAATTTTCATGCAACATCAACAGCAACAATAATAATAATAAATTATAAATACAATTTAAAGTCTACCTCCTTGTACTCCTTTAGATAGTGGATCAGTTTTTTTCTTTGATTTTTTCTCCTTGGATTTTGAATTTGGAATGTCTGCAAATATATCAGTAGTGTCAGCAAACAGGTCGGTGTCAACGCGAACTGTTTTCGATTTTGGTCGTTTGCTATCCTTCTTTGGACTTGTGAATAGTTCATCTTCAGCGACCTTTAAGAAAACATTTTTATAATCATATCATTATCATAATTATTTTATTGTTTAAAAAAGCAATACATACAAATAGCTAAAGATTATTTGTTTGTTGATTTAACAAGTTCTTGTAATCTCGAAATCGTCGATAATGGCAGTATAATAGAGGCAGTATCTAGCAAAAAAAAAAAGATCAATTAATCAATCAACTATTAATCAGCCAAGTGTTTCTAGAGCTCCTCATGAGGGCAGTATAATAGAGGCAGTAGATCTAAAAAAGATCTATTAATCAATCAAATATTAATCAATCAGCCTCATGAGGGCAGTATAATAGAGGCAGTAGATCTCAAAAAGATCTAATAATCAATCACCTGTGTGTTTCTAGAGCTCCTCATCGGAGCTAAAAACATATGATTACAAGAAGTTTTACTTCATCAGAAAACCTCTGATCAAACATCTGACAGAAATCTGAAAGCCTTCAAGTGTCCAAGCACTTTGTACAAGTGCAAGTGGTACTAAATTTAAATTTAGTAATTAAGAAACTGCCAATCACATTATAACCATGTAAAGTTATTAAAAATAAACACTCAGATTAAACTACAAATATCTTTAAATATCATTAATAACTATTGAAAATTTAACACATAACTGTATCAATACATTTAAAAACTGTGACAGAACTGTGATTAAACAAACAATAAAATAGACTCACCCTCATTGGTGGTTTGTCTTTACTTTTGCTAGGTGATGAGAACAAGTCCTCCTCAATTTCAATATCCACCTTTGCTGCAGCTTTATTTAAAGAAATATCAAACTTGATTAATGTTTTTTGCTGATTTAGATATGTCTGAGTCAAGCATACAGCAGTGAGACAAAAATCTGATCCAAATTTGATCAAACATATGTTTACTGTATAAATCACTTCAAAGCTCTGTCCAAACTATCAAATTTACCTCTTGTATGCCCATATATAGTCATGACATGCCCATATATGGCCATGATGTGATGTCATCATGACCATATTTAGGCATGTCACATGTTTTTGTCAAATAAAATTTTATAGTCTGGTTTTAGGCACCTAACTTTTTTTCTATAAGATATTTTCATTCTTTGAGATTTTTGGTTTATCAAGGTGAGTACTGATGAAATTGACAACATCCCTCAAAGTGTTTGTTAACAAGTTCGCTGCCAGAGGGACGCGAATTTACATCTGACAGAGTTCACTGAGGGTGCCAAGGACATGATTTCATATCCACCACTGTCTAAACATACTACTACTGTATTGCACATAAGCTTGCTGACACTGGCCACCAGAAAGCTAACTCTTGTCTTTGGAGCTTCAGGGAAGGACCCGGTAGTAATGATTTAAAAATAAATATGCTATGTTTTTTTATGTTTCATTACAGTTGATGGGAATGATTTTCATTATAGTGGCGCCTTGGCGTGTGGAATGAAACTAAAAAAAGTTTGGCAGTCAACATGTTTAAAGATACTAAGGCTATGTTCTCACACGGCAGCTAACGGTTAGCAGGATCCGAATCCTGCTAACCATTAGCTGCCGTGCGTCCATAAGAGAAAATCCTGATCCGGATACCAAGAATATGATGATTGAATCACTAGCCAATAAGAAACTGGAAATTGTAAACGCGTATGTGTGATTGGTTGATGATAGAAACGTGTCACTTGCTAACCGATAGCGATTGCTAACCGTTAGCGGTATCCGGATATTGCTAACGGTTAGCGCTAACCAATCGGGCGTTCTCACACAGGTGCTAACGGTTAGCGCTAACGGTTAGCTCTAGATCCGGATACTAGGGCTCTCATGAGAACCAGGCTAAAGTTATGTTTAAGAGGTTGGAGTTTCTACCTGCTTTACTTGGACTGCTGAACAAATCCTCATCCACATCAATCCTGGATGCTATCTGCTTCCTCTTGTCTGAAATTTTAGTACTGCTTCCGAAAAGATCATCATCCTCGTCATTGTCTTTTTCTACTTTTTTCTCCTGTGAATTTGTGATTGATGATGTAGAATTGTCTTTCAACGAACTAACAGGCTTTTCAACAATAGGTGGCGCTCCAAATAGATCATCCTCCTCTAGATGGTTCGACTTGCTTGAGTTGTTACTGTTAGAGGCAGGGCTTGCACTAAATAAGGGATCATCTTGTAAAAGCTGTGTTTTTGAAATGTTTGATTTCACTGGAATTTCATCATCGGGCAGCGGAGGTGGGCTTCGTGACAGCGGGTCAACTTGGCTATCATTGAATAAGTCATCGACACCTGAAATGTCATTAGATGTCTTTGAGCGTACTTCAACCTTTGCGTATGTGGATTTAGAGCCCTTTACGGCCTCGTATGATTCATAAGTTTCACTGCCTTGGCTATCTATATCTGGTAATGGCTGGTAAGTTGTTGCAAAATCCATGTCATTGCTAAGGTCTGGGGGTAGTGCAGGCGGCTCTGTAGCATTGGATTTTGCTTCTCTACGATTTCTTGATGGAGGCCTACGCCTGGAACCAACCTTCACTCGGTTCTGTAAATAGAAAAATAATTTAAATATTAAATACATAGATGATAATACTAATCTTCAAGGTATATACAAGTCAACAAAATTTTGAGCAATTTTAATAAAACTAATTCACTCAAGAAAAACCATAGTAATTCAAGAATTTCGAGAATTAATACAGGTTATGACGTTATACCCTGTTGAAACACTGGTTCTATTCAGATAAGCAAGTTAACCAAGGTTTGGCCCAGTTATTACCTGGATAGGAGACCACCTTAGGAAAACCAGGTGCTGCAGACCTGAGTTGTGTGGTACAAGGGGGAGAAGGAGGGGGAGGGGAGGATCTCAGCAAAAAATACACAGCAGGATTTTTTACTCTTAGATAAAAGACTCCACTACTTAAGTTAAAATTATAAGACTTTAGTTTACAAATATAACTGGGAGAGCAATAAATTTCTAATGAACATGTTACTCAGTAAACTGTTCAACAACAGGGTACTAAATAACCTGTTCAACAACACATTACACAGTAACCTGTTCAACAACACAGTAACCTGTTCAACAACAGTTTACTCAGTAACCTGTTCAACAGCAGTTTACTCAGTAACCTGTTCAACCACACAGTAACCTGTTCAAAAACAGTTTACTCAGTAACCTGTTCAACAACAGTTTACTCAGTAACCTGTTCAACAACAGTTTACTCAGTAACCTGTGACTCACCTTATTCAAACTAGGTAATGTGTTAGCTTCAGCAGGCTGGTCAAAGGTGAGTGTGTCTGACTCTGGTTCCTTGATGACAGGAGCTGCTCCTGGCCTCATTCTACTTGGATCAATAGTAACGTTGGCCTAAAGGTACAATAGTAATATTTATATTAGTATCACATATTAATGGAAAAAATAGTGACAAGTTAAGAACATAAAATTTTCATGGAATTTACATACTCTATTGCACTTTTTGTCTAAACTTTAAAAAACAATACATTATTATTACTAATTTACATTTATAAGACATGCATATATTATATATATATATATATATATATATATATATATATATGTATTAATAATTTTAATTAATTTAATTAATATTATTTAAAATATATACTGTTATAATTAATTTGTGTTTTTGTGGGGATGGGAAGAGGGTGAGAATAGAGAGAATGAAAAGATAAAAGGCAGAAATGAATATAGAAACAAAAAAAAATGAAATGAAAATATAAAAATTGAAAAAGTTCTTCATTTTATTCACTTACTTACTATCAGATTTTGGTCTGTCAAAGCATTATTTGATCAAACATTATCCGACACAGTGGTCAAAAAATCTTGTCTATACATGCATTTTATAAGGTGGAAAATACTTAAACAAACATGTCTGGTAAATATTGAGTCTGACATTTTTTTTTTATAATTAAAATTACAAAAATGTCATCATTTACAGCGCAAAATGCCAAAGGTCTCTAAATGATTACCATTTTAAAACAGTTTTATATTTATGATCAGAAAAAGGAAATAGATAACATTTGAAAAATTGAACTTTTAGAAGGAGGATGATGATTGGTTGAGCTGGTTTAATACACGATTTGAATTTTGAATTTATTATTTGGAAGCTAGACACTGTATTGTAAAACATACACAGAATATTTATGCATAAAATAATTATGGTTACAGTTAAGGCTTATATCAGAGCTTGCTCCGCTAATATGTTATAATTTAAAAAAGGATGCAATGAAAGGTATATAACCAATAACAATAGAGTAAATATATAAAACATGATTCAGGTGCTGTATAGAAAAATTGCTGTAGACATTTAGAAGAGGAATGCAAATCAACAAAAAACAAAATCAGACACTTGCATTAAAAAGAAGCAATTAAAATATGGTACAATTCAAAAATGAACCAATCAGACCACTGCAGAATATCAGTAAGCCAATCAAAAGTGCAAATCAACAATAGGTCAATCAGAAACAGTTGTATGAAAACAATTTATGCCAATCAGAAAACAGTGCAAAAAAAAAAACAAAAAAAAACTTCCAACAAGTTGGAGCCTATCAGATGGAAGACTTTAAGGGATGCTTTCGATTTATTTCTATCAAGAATGTTTAGTTCATATCAAGCAAGCAATCCACATGCCATGCGGTGACAGACCTTGCCCGCGCTCCGGCGCCCCACTGACTTTCGCTGCCTCCTTGAACGTGGCTTTGGTACAGGTGGTGGTGGAATAGGAGGCATTCTGGGCTTAGACTGTGACCGACGATTGTGCTTGGGCTGTTTGTGCATAGGCTTAGATTTGGCAAATTTGGAGAAAGGTTTAGGAAGCGTGGTTTTACCGGTATGGTTTTTAGGCTTTTTCCCTTTCTTTCCAAAAAGTCTGGCATAGAAAGGCTTAGGAGATGTACACAAGGTTATAGTGGTTCGATTGTGGGCAGAGAGGTTCTGAGGAGAAGCAAAATGCAAACAATCATATGATGTAAATCATATTTTCTTTAAATTCCTGCTGATAGGTCTGTTAAAATTCAATTTAATCCAATCTCATTGCTGCATAAGCCAACAAGGGTAATCATCTGCCCAAAACAATACCGTAGTTCCCTGAGCATAAGTCAATCTCCCTATCTTTAGAGAACTTTTTATTTTATAGGTATAAACTCACTGCCTTGGGAACAAAGAATAAAATAAATTGCATAAAATTTAGCAACAAATGTACTAGTTAGGCCTAGTCTTAAGGCCTGTTTAAACTATGACGATAACGATCAATGATAAATAGCTAAAAGCAGTTGTTCATATAGAAAAAAAAGAAATAAGGGAAGTTTTCACACTAGCACGATTCGATAACGATTTATCATGTATATGATAAAAAAATAATTTTACAAATTAAATCAAATGACATTAAATCATGAGAAAACGATGAAATCATAGTAGTAAAAGGCTATTGTTTATCAGGCTTATGCCATAGGGTTGAATTTTAGTGAGGTCTAGGCTACTTAGGTTAGACCTCAGACTCATGTTATTGTTTGCATTTTCTGGTCCTCGGGTATAAGGCCACCCAATTTCATGTTCAAGGAAGGTGGGCTTATACAAAAGAAACTACGGTATGTTATAAAAGCTCTAATCTCTCAACCAACTTGAGTTTCTTAAAGTGCAACCTCAACAGAGAAATGGAAACTATAAATTGCTTGTCTGTTGTAAATAATAAAATAAAAAAATATTAAGTATCATCCACATAAACATTAATATAATAATTATTACTACAAATTTTTTTACAAAAATAAACTTTTTTTGGTAAAAAATATCATTAATAAAAATTCGTAAGCGCACATTAATTTGATTTCAAAACACTCAATAACGAAATATGAAAACAATGCAAGAGATCTAAATAAAAAAAAAATAAAATAAAATAAAAATAAAAATAGAGAAGCAATAGCATGAATGGAATAGAAAATAGGATATAGAGAGACATACAGATTATTAAGACTGAGAAGAGAGAGGGCCATTTAAGCATTAAATTATTATTTTTTAACTTGATGATTATTAATTAATCATAAAAGATATATCCTTGAACCTCACTCTTTGGGTTAATTTTTAATGGATATTATTGTGTATAAATCATATTTGACTGAATAAAGAAAAGATATATAATTCATTTTGCTACCACAAAATATATTTCATTTTAGTTTAGAATTTATGCTACTTATTTTTGTTACAATAGATATATCAACATTTATAAGGTAGGCTTAGGGATGGAGGATTTTTTAATTTTTAAGGTATGTTTAATAGTTAATGATTATCTATATGGTTTATTCAGTTAAAGATTTATCAAATAGACACTAAGTACAATTATTAATGTATGGTTGATTATGCATAGACCTACTTTTACTGAATACTTATTTATGCAAATTAATACTAATTTATGCTAATGAATCATATTTTAAGCTGTATTTCACACCTGCATTTTCTCAATATAACTCTGTCTTTTTGCAGGTGCCTTGACAGGTTTGATAACAGGTGGCTTCACTGATTTAAAACCAGGTGCGCTGAATGTTGATGATTTGGGGGAAAACAAATCGCCATCTTCGGGAGGACTTCCGAACAAAGGCTACAAAATTACAGGTGGTGAGAGAAGAAAATGCATGCAAACTTAATAAGGTGACATATGCAAATGAGCATTGAAAGACAGTGAAAAAAAAATAACACAGCTGAAACAATTTAGACACAGCATAATGTTGGCGGTGATTACGACAAAAATAAAAACTCATCATATTTACCTGAATTGTTCATTACCATTATAAACATCAACACCAATACCATCACCACTATCACGTTTACTGTACACCATGATCACCATCATTGATCATGATCAGACTCTTGTCTCTACCACCACCACCACAACCATCAATATCATTATATACTATTATACTGTACCATTATAATCATCATCAATACCATCACCACTAGCATCATCACCATTATCACCTTTACTGTACACCATGATCACCATCACTGATCATGATCAGACTCTTACCTCTACCACCAGCACCACAACCATCAATATCATTATATACTATTATACCATTATAATCATCAACACCAATACCATCACCACTAGCACCATCAACATTATCACCTTTACTGTACACCATGATCACCATCACTAATCATGATCAGACTCTTACCTCTACCACCACCACCAACACCACCATCAATATCAAAATATACCATTATACCATTATAATCATCAACACCAATACCATCACCACTAGCACCATCACCATTATCACCTTTACTGTACACCATGATCACCATCACTGATCATGATCAGACTCTTGTCTCTATCACCACCACAATACCATAATTAGTTACATGGTACACCACTACTTTCTTCATCATTCTCATTACACCACTACCATCATCATTACCTTTACAAAATGATCACCACCACCACTACCACCACCAACATCATTGATGATGATCGGACTCTTGCCTCAACCACCACCACCACCACAACCATCCCTACCATAAATAGTTAGACAGTACACAATCACATTCTTCATCATCTTCTTTACACCACTACCATCACCATCATCACCATTACCAATACCATCTTTAAATTGCATCTCTACACCATCACCATCATAATATTTACAATCATAATCTTTACAAAACCACCACAATCATTTTCATCATAATCCTCTTCATCTTGTCATCACTATTTTTTCTGTTTATACAACCACCACAATAATCATCATTTCATCATCACATACCACCATCATTAATCTGCTGTTGATTTTAGAAACAAATCAACAAAAATACAAATTTCCAAGTGCACTTACATCTCTTTGTTTAGGAGCACTGATGCCATTGGCTGTTGGTCGGTCTGATGATACACTTGAAGAAATGCTTACAGTATCACCTTCCGTTTCCGACGCCTTCCCAACATTTAGAGGATCCACAGTCCCAAACATAGAAGCGCCACCAACTGGCTTCTTTTTTACAGGAGAATGATCAAGATTAGAATTTAGAAATTATTTTCTTTATGAACTCTGACCTTGCAAATATGAAAATATTTATAATCAAAACTAACAGTAATTTTAAGTTATGTTCTTACAGACCCTGTTACTTAAAATAATAAACATTTTAATGTAATAATAATAAGTTGAAATTATATTACTTATAAACTGACCTTCAAAAGACAAAACCAAAATAACAAGTAATAAATAATTGTTATTTTCAATCATCAACATGGGCATGATCATATGATTATGATCATCACCGCTATCATTATCACAAACACTATCATTTGATATCATAAATCATCATAATAATCAAGATCATCATAAAAAATTATCCTTATGAATATGATCATCATGTATGATCATTATCATTTTAATGAAAAAAAAAACCATTTAAATAAAAATACATTTAGCTCTGCACTGAAAAAAGCATGCTTACCGAACATTAATTCAAAATGAAATGTCAGAGTCAATTTTTAAGAGCATCACAACACCATTTAAGACAAATAAAATCATACCACTTTCCTCAGAAATTATTAAAACTAATTTTGAGGGACAAACATGATGTTTTTGCAATAGAATCACAATGACAGTATGAAGCGAAACATCTTTTCATTTTATGATTGTAAAGCAATGGAAGTTTCACATAGACATAATATGTTGATAGGATAATGCATGGATATATAACAAACCGTGCATGAACGATAAATATGATGAAGATATTGATGCACAAATAGACGTGCATAAAATGTGATAATTATTTCTTATGTTCAATTATCATTTAACTACAACATACGACAGTAAGATGGCAACAGAAACTGCAGGATTCTGTATAATGCAATTTTTAAAATCAAGAATATTGTACCTGATAGCTTTGCTTGGTAAAGAAAAGTAAATTAGAAAAAAAAACAAATATATTGTTCTAAAAAAAAACAACAAAACTAATTAACATTGTAATTAATATAAAATCCACCTGTAATTCTTTATAAAATTACCCAGGTGAGAA